TAAGAAAAAGAGCCTCGGCTATCGGTCGCAATAAAATCCTATAGTTATTATCAATGGGCGTAGGCCGATGACTGTCTAGCCCTTATTTTTCGTAGATGTAAAAATATACACTAGGACTTAAACTAATAAAGTTTAGTTTGCACTTATATTTCTATGTACGCCCCGCTGACTAGATGGCGTTTCAACGGATCGCAAGGCTAGAAGTGAACGGTTAGTCGATACCTTCTCCCCAGCGTCTAGACGTAACCGAGCGAGATCTCCTTCGAGTATATCCATTACATGCTAGACGGTATTCATTGCCTAGATTTAACCTAGAGATACTAGTAGGAGTTTAACGTCTATGGCTCAACCTCCTATTTAGCTCGAGCTGGATTGATTCTATAACGAAAGTTATAGAACGCCTTACTACTCTAGATCCCCGATATAAATACCTAAACTCCTATCTTTATATACGATATAGCCTCGAAGGAATTCCGCAAGAGTTTGGGACGACTCAGCTAAATTTTCCTTTAGACTTCTAGGCGCTTTCTATTCCAAGAAGATTACACTCCAATACAATAGCGGGGAGAAAAGTTGCTTCTTGCTTTCTAGACTGTATAGCTAGGGTTTAGCACCTAACAACACTATATCCGTAGAATGCTAGTGTATAAGGATAATATAACTAGTTATCTAGCGATCCTCTTTCTTAGGTGTAATTAGTTTTTGGTAGGTGTGGCGGTTTAGAATGATATTTTTGTTGAATGTGAGCGGTAGAGGGAAATGGGTATATAACTCTAGTAAATCGTGAGTAGATTAGGACTAGAGTCTACTTAACGATTCGTCGAGAAGGATCGGTGTTATAATCTTTTCGAAAGGCGATCTAAATCGTATATTTATAAGGGACTTATACTCTTAACTAACCGAGGCTCTTTCGTCTAACGATACATCTTAGGTAACCTGAGTAGGTTGGAGATTGTACGTCTCTCCGATTTTACCATTCAGCATTTGATTTATAGTTAGTCGAAGGCTCGCTGAAGTCGTTTCACCATCATCATCACCTACCTTCTTACTATTCATCGATATCCCCTTCACCTTCTATAGTAGAGTATACTATCGTCACTATAGGTGACGATAGGTAGACTCCCTGAGTAAGGCTACCACGAGGCTATTATGAGGCTAATTATTGTAAATTACGGTAGTGGAAGTATATGTTTATTATTATTCTTCTACTTCCTTAGAAATGTAGGAGTATATATATACTAAAGTAATATACTAGAAGCTTCCCTATTATATCTAAGCGTACGGAATAATTCTATAAGACTTTTCCGTTAACCTTATAATAGTCGGTTAAGCCTTATATTACAACACTAATAGCCCCTACTTTCAACAAGCTTCTAGTATATTACTTTAGTGTATATATGCTCCTATATTCTGAGGAAGTAGAAGAAATATAAGAATTAATATATATGCTTCCACTGCCGTAATTCACAATAGGTTATGAGCCCGGAGAGCTGTCCTCTCCGGTGCCGTTTCTAATCACTACTAGAATACTAGTTGGTAGTGTAGAGGACTCGCGTTTTCGACTAGGTCGACCACGGCTTAGTGAGTCTTCTGCATCTGTGGCTGGCCTCCTTCAGCCACAGCCCATCGGAGGCCCCCTGTACTGCCATGGCACTAACCGGATCCAGCACCAAACGCTCATTGAGTAGACGATTTCACTAAATGCGCACATCCGGAAAACAATTGATGATGAGCCATTAGCTTCAGAAACATAACATATTATTGATGAAGATAGTGGATGTCCAGTGGACTGTTCGCATAAGGTCGGCTGTGCAAGGGACAGAAGGCCAGAGATTTCATGTTGCGCTTAGACGGGTTCGCCTTAGTCAGCGTGCCCCGTTGCTAAGACCTAAGAGCAGTCTTGGCACAACATCACTTTATCTACAGCTCAACTCTTAGCACACCCTTACTCCGTAAACTGGCTCTAACCTTGAATGATAATAGCTCATTACTAACGTCACCGGGGAACCCATACCAGCCTCCTCGCTATATTTTCAGTTTGAGAATGCCTTCCGGGTTGTTCTGCGCGGAACGCGCCCCGACAACAATGTACGAGCTTTCTTTTGATCTATGTCTAGGTACTTCTGCTTCCGCCGAATCGTTCGACAACTCGGGGGCTTCATCCGTATATTTCCTTACGGCATCCGCTTCTACGCATGTAAGTAAACCTCCGAAAAACTCTATCTTTATGCGCTCGGGATCCAGCACGGTATTCTAGTCTCTAATAAGAAGACCGTTCGATAGACGTCGAAAATACTAGATAACTATAATACCGTAGCTCTAGCTATTAATCTACTACGGAGTAGGTTATTTAAGTAGAAAAGGTTAGCCTCTCGATCGTAAAAAGTAATTAAGGACCGATATTACTTAGCTCTTCGCTATATACGTATTCCCAATCTACGAATTCTTCTAGCCGTCGCGTTAAGAATATTCCGGTCGCTATCCTCTCGGTAGGGGCCTTACCTACACTAGCTAACTAACCCTCGTTTACTAAGAGTTGCCTTCGATCGTAGTCTAGTCCGCTATCGAATTATAATAACGGATCGCTTCCTCCCGTTTATTTATTCTATAAGTATTTCTAGATCGGTTTATACTTATCGGAGGATATCCTTCAATCGGGAAGGTAGTTCCCTATCTTCCCTTTCCCATCGTCCGCTATTTAGGAAAAGTATTTTCTATAGCCTATTAACCTAAGGGACTATTAGCCTATAGTACGGCGTAAAATTTTTATCGAGTATCCTTTTAAAATTACCTTTATAAGCTACTAAGCCTTTCTTTAGCTTAGCTAAGTTATCTATATCTCTATAGTTCTACTTCTTAAACTTCGGAACGACTCTACCTTTTTTATCTACTCCGTCGTAGTATATATATATCTAGAAAAGTACCTAGAAGAACGATTTATAGTCGTATATAAGGGAGTACTTCTCGCCTAAAAGTAATCTAATAGCTATAAATACTCTTATACTTATTTTACTACGTACGCCTAAAGATCCCTCTCGTCGCGTCCTTATCGAGAGATCGAGGTCGACCGAAAATACTAGCTATAATGGATTGGTCGGGTCTTCATTCATTATGAGGTTGCCTTGCGAAATATCGCGCTAGAGAATCCCGGCCTGGTGCAGAAATCTGTAACCTAATCTCATCAGCCAATAAACGCGATGGCTGTGGGACTACTTACCTTCTATGTAACCTTCCAACGCTGCCAGCATTGTATATCGCTATCCTATCTAATGGTATATAGGCACCACTGGACCCAACCCCTCTGTTGCTTTTCCTGGCGGTAGAACTACTTAGGCTCTATAAATTCCACTCCCCTCCTCATAAAATGAACAATATTATCTTCGAAGATCCTTCGAAACAGCGTCCACGTCAAAATCGAGCTTCCTAGGTCCAGCCAGTTGAAGTGTTGCCCGATTAGAACGGTCCTACATGTGGTGAGCAACAAAGAGGCCTTCCAAATCCAGGCCTCGGCGCTTGTGTTGTCAGCCTTAGCTGCTTGAGGGGGCTTTCGCGTGAGTCTAGTGCTCCTTCTCTTATCATCCCTTTCAGCTGGCCATTACGGGAGTCTGACCAGAAACAGGAAGCTATACCCCCTATGTCGATGGTGATGAAAGCCGTCAGACCCTTAACGCTCCTGACGGGTCGGATTTCGACCCTGCTAGTGCCACGACATCTTCCGTGGGCGAACTTAGTTCGATGGCGGACGATAATCGGTACTCTATCGATGAGGCCAGCCTTAATCAGCAGGATAGTTTATTTTCGTCTCCCGAACCCGAAGAGTCGACGGATAGTACGAATGAGTTGCACTCCAAAGTGACGTGTTTGAATATGAGGTTGGCAGGCCTGCCTCGTGTCGTCGGCCTTCACGAACCGACCACGAAGCAAACCGCGATGTGGAGCGGCGTATAGAGCACGACCACAACGAAAGAGCCGACAACCTACATTATATCACGACGGCACTTAATGATCGACAGCTTCAGCTTAGTGGCTATAACCAAGCGGAAAGCCGCGCTAGGAGTGTCGCTCTCTCCGATAATAGTTACAGGCCTAGTGCGGTTAGAGTAGTTGGCGCTACTGAATAATCTACGTTCAACGATACGTTAGATGATTCTTACAAGAGTGCCCGGTATACCGTTCATCCCCATCCGACATTCCCATTATCTAGAAAAAGGGGTGGTGTAGTGTTGCCTAACCCATCGTTTAGGGGAGTGGATATTCAGGACGATCACATCCCTTGTCGTAAGAAGCTCTCGCCATCGCGGCTATGTTAAAATCGTCGCGCCATCTAGAAGAGACGACCTTAGAGATCTCCGTCCATTAACACTGTACTAGAAGTCCGGCCGCGGTCTAAGTCGTGCGAGTTCCCTATCGGTTCAGACGGAGGGGAGCACAGTGTTGAGAACGAAGTGGTATGGGAATACAAGCGTCTTCTTAGGTACAAAACCGTCAATGGTAAATACTTAGTCCTAGTACCTTGGGTTGCTACATGTGAACCGGCTAATGAATACCCACCCAGGGAAGTAGAGAGGGTCCAACGCCAGTCCCAGGGGCAGATGCAGGCCAGACGACGAGGAAGGCCGCGCTCCAAGAAGTACCAATGATTGTGTTTGCGAGCAAGTTGGACTGAGTTCACTTTTGGAATCTGAACCATGGTGGTCAAGCGTGCGTAAAGCGATTGCCGTCGGAATTGGGTCGAGGTCGGCTGACCTCATTTGTAATTGTCCACAATATGCCACCGACTGCGAGATAGTCAGACATTCCGTTTACTCTGCGCAATTTCATCGGAATGACAGCTGTAAACACATTTTCTCAGCCTCTCTCACCTGCGAATGTCAGTCTTCGGAAAGATCGGGCAGTGAAAACTTACCACGCAGAGAGCAGTTAGAGCGGTCGAAATTTCCATCGTCAGCTTTGAATTCCATAAAAATGACTTTGTTATCCTCTTAAACATACCGCCAAGTCTATAACGTCACCAGTCCCTTCCGCTTCTGCTTCTCCAGTTGTAGAATTTTCCAGGTTGTACCGCCAACATCAACCGAAAATCCCGAATACTCAACTCTATGTACACGGGATCTAGCCTAATCACAGCCCACCACGGTTAAAGCTCCATTAATCGCTGTCGCTGTGCACCGACAGAATTTCCGTTGCGGCGTCATCTTCAATTACAGCAGCGGCCCTCTTGTCATCATCGAGGTAGATACTCCGGATATCAGGTCGTTTCACAATCTGTCTGCAGATCGGACAGGTATTCATTGGTGTCCGCAGCCATTCGGTGAGGCATGGTCTACAAAAGCCGTGGCCACATTTGGTCACTACGTTTTTGATGCTGACGGTGCAGATGTTGCAGCGGAGGTTGTCGACTTGATCCAAGTATTTACGCGCAGTTTCCAGTTCGCCGACCAGCTCTTGGTTGCGGCTGCGCAGCACTTTGTTTGCTTCCTTGCACCGCCGCAATGTGTGGCCTTGCGTTCGCAGTTGGTGTCGTGTGACCTCGGCGGAATGTTGGAGATCCGACAGATCTTGTTCATGTCGAGTGGTTAAATGGTCGACCTCAGCTTGTTTGGCCAGCAATTCCGTCTTCAGTCGTCGTGCCTGGCTCACTATGGAGGCGAACTTCCTCCTCATGTCCAAGGCACCCTCCACAACAGTGTTGTACTCGTCCATGATGTCGCAATCACCATCATGAAGAAGTTGACTAGCGTCGAAGACCGATTGTGCTGCGGACATGTTCGGAGGATGTTGCCGTGATGAAGTGAGGAGAAGGAGAAGGAGAGGGAGAAGGAGCAGGATAAACGAAGAAGGGGGAAAGAGGGCGCTATTTATGCTCTGGAAAACTGGGAGATAATTCCAGACATGCTAAGCCGCCTTCTTCCCGCTATCGTCTAGGGTGCATCAGTCCTAGAAATTAGTGCACTGTGCACATCCATGTCGACTCCGTGCGCAGCCGGCCCTAGGTGCTCTCGTCAAGTCACTCTAGCAGGAATTCGTCGAGAGTATGCGCGAAGCGTTACGCAGAAAGGCCACTCATTGCTGCATTTGACTCTCTCCAACAGAGTCTAAGGTCCAGCGTGCCTAAGGAATGGTCAGTGCCTTCTATGGAATGGCGCTGGGGTTAGCCAGCTCTTCGTAAGCGACGGCACTCGAGGAGAGAATTCAGTTCGCAGCAGCCTGCCTTACCAAGTCATGGTCGTGAGTGACCTTTCCGCTTGCGTGACTCTTGGACTGGATTAACCAGGTTTTCTGAGAATCGTGGGAGAGCCAGTACGTTCTGGTGAGTACCTCCAACGGCAGCAAGGTGGCTGAGGTCTGCTGACAAGGTACACTGGATTGAGATATATCATTTTTGAGAATGACTTCCGTCTCACGAATAGAGTGGCGCTCGCACGGACGACAGTCGGAATCTACAGCTGGGAGACTGCCTCACGACTAGTCAAACGTCTAACAGTCCGTCTGGCGTTGTTCGTATTTGCAACCTCTATGAATGTTAGCACTCAATCTTCGGACGAACAGGGCTCGACGGTTTGGAACTGGCGCGCTTATCTGTCCTTTTTCTCTCGCGGTATAATTAGACAACTCATTGTAGATAGAGTTTTTGATCAGATAGGGCCATGTGGAAATTTGAGATGAGTCCTGAAGAAGTATGAAGATCATGCCAGGTCTTTCCTAGCATGTTATGGTTAGATTAGACTTCCGAGTAGCAGATATTACTTCAGTCAATGCCTCTAAAAGGTCGTCGTCTGAATGAGACCTTATTAGAACGCAACTTTAGAGTCTTAGGTGTAGATAGGATACTCCACTGTTGCATCTCTCCGGTCTCAAACTTCTATGTAGCAGCGAAGGGTCGTGAGCGGCGTTGATAAAGTCCGACTATTGCGGGACCAGGCCACTGTGACACTCAACATTTTCTCCCGTCCTGACGATTCGCGTGCTGGCGAAGCGAGAAACAAGAGTATAAAGGGCGATCCAAATTGTCTGATCTTCTCCGTGGTTTTAAACCGGCTGATCGCCACCGCCGAGGACGGGTCAGGATACGTGCTCTTTCGACACAATATACTATTCTATTAGGACACTGAGATTGCTTACCTAATTTTCCTCTCGCACTGAAGATTAGCGCTATGCTCGCGACCTCCAGATTGTGGTGAATGGTTGAGGATGTCCAGTCGCTCAGATGGGACACCTCATCACACAAGAGATGTTTTGTGTTTGTTGTTCTCTCAAGAAATCAGCCCAGGATCATGAGATATCAGCTGAGACTGGAAACACCGCCCACGGCTCAGAAGCTCAGAATGAATTCTTGGAAATGCATGAGATACCATATTTTTGGGGGCAGGGGGGCAATCCGCGACTAGGTCAACTAACGTATCAAACATGCAGGGAGACAATGGAGACGAACACACCAATTTGCATGCCACATACCCCTGGAGGGCCGTACAATATCATGGAACAGAGCACGAGCCTCCCCCCCCGTCGATGGGCGATATTCTCCAGCAGATATAAGCAGCAAAGGACATTCTGAGCCTTCAGGAAATGTCGTGATTGTGAGGAAGGAGCGAGATAGATATCCCCGTCTATTGCAACTAATCATCTCCGGCCTCAAGTCAACTTAAGTACCCAGGACAGAGACGAGTAAGATGAATGGAAGCGTGCGTGGCCATAATCGTTGACAGAAATCGCAATCTTCCAACGCAATCTATCCAGTATACTTCAGATGGTGTGGATAAAGTCGTACCCAGTGATGGTCGCCGATCGATGCTCTTGAAAAACAGGATATGGTGGATCGTCTCAGAAGGAAAGGTCATTCTTGATTGCCAGATCCCAGCCGTCGGGGTTGGTTTCTACTCTTGAGCACCCTTGTGCGGATTCCGGATGCCTATAGAATGATCAGAATTTCCCGTCATATCCTTCTGACAGAAAGGCTTCCCACTCAGTTAAATAATAGCGGGGGCAAATTGCGTCTACAAGGCTCGTCATGAAAATTTGCTTCTGGGTGAACGTGTAAAATGAGGTTGGACAGTATAATGTGGGTGTGTTGAACCAGTAGACCTATTTTGGATGTGTCTTAACTATACCTTTATTTCTGAACAGCTTGCTGCTGCGTAGCTCGGGACCCCGATGGAGGCGACTATGTTCATGGTGCTTCTCGTGGCTCTTGCGGCCAGCAGGATCGTGAAACTTCGCACTACGATGCTACAAGCGGACGTACCTGTATCGGATAGTTGTAGCTCTGTCTCGAGAGTTGTGGTCTACGGCTGGATTCTGCTCCGGATCACGTTGCTGGCTAAGCAAATGTCTTAAGTACATCAAGCATGGATTGGTACTGATATCTCAAGATCGGGATAGCTTTCCATTTTTAGGCTTGGCATAAAATGGGTCGTGGCTAAAAATAGTCCACGGGTTCGTCCCTCTAATATTGGCAATGCTATAAATAACTACCCTTGTCCTTGGCCACTACAAAGCTTCTGCTATATAATGAAATTGGCTGGCGTCTGGGAAGTTCTCAGTCGCTGTTTGACTCTGTCGGGTACTGGTGGGAGATCACCACATGGACCGAGGTCTGAGATCAAAGAGCTCCTTACCAATATCAAGGGAAAGCAAAATCTGAAAGAAAAGCACGCGGCAACAGAGGCCAATGTAAGGGACAGCAGTTCCTATGGACATTATGATTAATCTTTCGAGCAGATCGCTTCGGCATTATCCTATGGACCTTCCGAACTATATTAGGTGGGATGTACTACCAAGTTGTGCCCAGCACGGGGTTTGGGGTCAGTAAGATCCGGCCTGTGGTTTGCGTGCGGAGAAGCATAAGCCGTCACAAGATCTCCCCTCTCGGCTTATATGGTTGATTTCTAACTGGCTGAGGTTTTGTAGAGCTAGGGCGTCTGACGTAAGACACAGTTCGTTCTAGTTGTTAAAACCATGATTTTCGCCCTGTAGACGACTCCCCCTTTTTCTGCTCTTTTTTCTTGGCCCCTTTCTGACCACTTTTTCCAATCGACACAAATCAGAATTGTCTAACTTGAAACTTCGTATACATAACGTTATTATACATCCATCTTGTACCTTTTAAATTCGTGGAGAGTGTGAAGTTGTTCCGATCTGAAGTCTTGTCCGCTGCAATGACACCTCATGACGAGACGTCTTCAGCCATCAACGAACACAGATGAGCAAAGACATCGTTCCTGTGACCGGTGAAGCCCTGTAATGATGCCGGGACTGGGTTTGCACGCCTAGGTCGGCAGCTGTCCTGGGCCGACTCTCCTGGGACACTTACATCTCTAGGGCTGCGCACCCTCTGCGGCCGGCTATCCTCTGCGTCACGCCAGCTCCTGCGCCAGGCTATCCTCTGCGTTGGGCTACCACCGCCACACTACCGTCTATCAGACTTGAAGTGTGGCTGTGAGCCCACGTCTTGCGTCACGCTACCTTCTGGCGGCCGGCTATTCTCTGCGGCACGCCAGCCTCTGCGGCAGGCTACCTACTGCAGCACGCTACCGTTGATTGATTGATTAATTGATTCATGGACTGTCCCAGCCTCGCTAGGCGGCTATGCAGCATTCAGCTATAAGTGCAGGTCTTTTCCTGTTCTTGCTTCCAGAAATCAAAATCAACCCTGATAGTCATCTATTGCCCTATTCCTATCGGCAATGAACTGGCTATCTGATCCATCTATGTCTATGACGTTGATAGTGAAGTAGAGCTGCTAATCTACTGGTTTGAGCTTAATAAGAACCCCACTCTAGGCCTGTACTCAACTCAATACACTGTTGAGTTTCGGCAATCAGCCATGGGCGCTCAGAAGGTGTGTGATCATTTGGGGCAATTCTGCGCGATTTCAGCGGATTGATGTCACCCTGGGCCTTAAGTAATGTCGTCCATCCCACCGCTCGAAAGATATGCGAAGTCTTTCTTAGGTAATAGCTTACAGTTATGAGAAAGTTGTGCAGTTGCTCATCGACAAGGGTACAAATGTAAAGACATTTACGTGGAAGGTCCCGCGGCAACGCCCTGCCGTCAGCGGCGAGCAAGAGCTATGCAATCGAGGTGGTGGGTGGCCCTCCGGATCTATGACTAGTTGACAATGCGCCTCACTTTTGGTCTGTGCTCTTTCACGAAGATGGGGTTGGGGAAGCTTTCCATTAACTTTTTAACACGGTCCGAAGTTTCCAAAAACCACCAGTAAGCTATCAAGCAATTACAGTCGGCATTCGAGGGGTGTAGCAGCGAGTTCTAGGGACTGGGAGCGAGTGAAATGAATTCACTGACATAATGCAAGACTATTACCCACCTAGCCGGGTCCCTACCGATGATCAGCACAGAATATCCATTACGGTCACTTGAGGAGTTTTTGATAATTACAAAGGCATGATATATACTACAAGTCAAGATCTTGAAGATCATCTAAGACACTTCGAACGTCAGTTACAGAATATCGCACGAGTTGACGACTTTCACCTTTCCAGGACATAAGTTGAGCTCGAGCGCATCAAGGATGAGAAGACCAGTACCGAGAAATACGATTACCAAGTCCTTTCACGCATTTACTGAGAAGCATTTCATCCCCATCACGGATGAAGAGAATAGACAGGAGCAGAAATAGTAACTTTCTCTCCGCGAGACCTTACGCAAGCAGAAGCAGTAGCTCTCCGGACTCCTCAAATCCTATAACGAGAAGATTTGTGAGACCATCTCACACTTCCATGCTCGACAAACAGTTTGATTCGTCACAGCTAGAGGCTATCGACCAGCCTCCGAGGGTGACGGAAGACCCTGGACGTCACTTTAGTAAACTGTGTAGATGATGTGGCAGCTTAAACTTCTAGATGATTTTGTAGGCTACGCCAGTGTGAGACAATATAACGCTCGGAGCAACTAGCAATGTGTAAAAGGCTGCTGAAGAGTTTGATCAGAAACTGTCCCTACAGACTGGATGGCTCCATCTCGTGTTCAGGCCCCTTTGATACTAAATAAATTCCCAGTGTAGAACAAAGAGCTGTAGCCAATCGCGGCCTATTTAAAAGTTCTCGACGATGTGGGACACGATTGTTTGAGATTCCATGAGCTACGGTATCGCATCTTTGGGGACTCTGCTTCTCGCTGTTGAGCTCGCTATTCAGTGTCCTCAGATTTCAAGTGCTCCCGACTCTTTTAACCCTTAAGAATTAGCGATATGTAAAGAGCTGTCCTGACAACGACGCGGTGAGATGTTCCTCTACAATGAATGTAGCACTGAGGATGGCCCATTCCTGCCTCTGAATCACATGGATAAGTCGTATCTGTGTGAAGTGCCATCTCCAAAATGCCCGCAACATCTCCTTAAGGAGCGTCAGACCCGAGAGCTTTGATGGGTCATTGAAGGGCATCTGTCTGTTGATTCTGAAGCAGACGGAACCGCTTCTGCATCGGACTTTGGCTGAAGTCGAAAGCCACGCCCATGTCGCTCCCAGGTGCGCGGATCTGGATCACGTTCCATGGCATCACTAGAAATAGGATTGCTTGGCAGAGAGGTACCATCTTTATCGTGAGCCGTTTGAATGCTAATCCTTGACATATCCTGTGACAACTGTACCACTGTGGCATCACTAAGGTGACCCCCAACTTGCCTCGTTCTCCAGCCATGTCCTCGATTTTTACCATGAATCGTCTTCCCGTCGGTCGACACCATAAATTGGATGGCGTCGCCGGTGGCATAGTTGTCAATTACACTGACATTTTCTTTTAAGTGGCCGTCTGCCTTGGAGCAGATCTGTATGCATTGGCGAGCGGTTTCCCATTCCTCTTGTAGCCTTGCAAGATCCGCATTGTCATTGTCAGAGGTCATTGTACTGTTTGACTTTGCCAGCATGCGCGTCATGAGATCTTTCATGTGCTTTTCGAGCCTCGCAGTCGTAAGAAGAAGGCTGTCCCGACATTCCTGCAAACCCTCATTTATGACTCTTTCAGGAATGCTTCCTGAATTAGACACTCCGGGAGAATCCCCTCCAGATCTTTTTGGGATCTGAATTTGGCTGATGTGCTCAGACAGTCGATCACATATTTGGAGACATCTCTGCGTGCTCGAAATCTCTTCCTTCATCTGACTGAGCTCTGTTGAACCAGAGCTGGGATCAGTTTCCCTCCTTCCAAATACCCTCTCAAGCTTCTCATTGATAGATTCAAGATGTGCCTGGAGGTCATCAGTGGCAGTCTCAACCAGGGTTTTGTAGCTTTTAATGCTTTCAGCGGTGGCGGTGGAATTGCGACTAACGAGGTTAGAAGAGCTTCTTATTTGATAATTAACTGAATCATAAACCCACAGCGTTGCGTCAGTCAGAGCGATGGTGATGGTCAGCTTGTACCCTGCCAAGAGTCGTCTAAAACTATCAATATCATCTCCCATATACCTCAGCTTCGCCCAATCACGAAAGCTGACCCGCGAATTGTCAGACCGCGATGAGCATTTGAGCAGCTCGTCCTGAAATTCTTTGCAGGCATTGCCACATCGTAGTAAAGGAAGATCAAGGGAGGATAGATCTATGTCGGGAGAAGATTTCAATGTTTCGCTGAGAGGACCCAAGACTCCGCTTAAGGCTTCAAGCTCGTCTGTAAGATCTCGTACACGTTTAGGATGGGACTGAAAACTGTGGATTGTCCCATGGAGTGTGATGCTAGACTAAAAGGCGAAAGTTGCCAGAGCCAACAGCCCAGAAGCCACGCTTATAGCTTCAGCCATTGGACGGATAAAACGGGTTTTGCCTTGCTGTTGAAAAGATCTAAGGTTGGGCTACCTTTTTATGTCATTTCTCGGACGCGCTCAGACAGGCAGAGGGTTTCATCAGGCGCCAGGATTCAATAGTTCAGACGCTCAGGTGTAGCGATGAAAGATGACAAGATGAGGGGTTTCAGCAAGTGAGATTTGTGCCCGGCAGTGTAAGCGCCTAGTGATTTGCCTCATCTTGGCAGCCGGTTTTTGCTTTTCGCCTTGGCCTTATTCAAAAGTGCTATCGTCCTGTGTTGTCGACATTGAAGGCTGGAAACTCGAAGTGGATACATATATGTAGAATGAGAGTGATGTTATGAACTTGCAATCTTCACGCTAATAGAGCTGCGGTCAAGAATAGATTCTCGTCGCTATTAGTAACTGCCGGCCCTGTAAGCAAACGCTTTCTTGAAGCATTATGTAATTTGCCCTCTTTGGAACAAAGTCACGTGCATAAATCAGCCCAGCGTTCTTCGCCAAGGATCGTGTCGATGTTGACAGAATACCTCTAAATCTCGCGCCCAGTGACAGAGACTGCCAACTTGACCCTCCGATTATTTGAGTATTCAATTTAAGCCTCTCCCAGCTTGAATATTTCCCAACATATTCCATCGCTGTCGCCATTCGCTTCTCAGCTTCTATCCACCTTCTGTTCGCTATTCAACAAGACCAATACTTGTGCGAGGATTACTTGATAGAGAGAATGATCTAGCCTCTATTCTTTAGACGGATATCCTTCCCCGGGAGTTACTGTGTGGTAGGCGTGGATTCCATCCGCTGGAATGTCAATCGCAGATCCGCCATCCCACGAGATACATGTCACGGGCAGACCTTCAGGGAGGGAAGTGATTGGCTGCCCATAAAACTTGGCATTATAGCTGGCCATTATAGCCCCGGAGTCATTCCCGGGGGACATGATCGAAATCTGGTTGAATGCGCGAGGCCATGAAGGGTCTCCATGTCCTCACGTTGCCAGTTGGGTGGAAGACGTTAGGTCCAAGGGATTCGAATGCTATGAGGAGACATTTCGCTACAATCCGAACGATGTGCACTTCCTGGATCGAAGACTGCTTTTTGGCCGTTCACTCAGCGTAGAGAACTACATCCAGGCCCACACTGACACTGTGGTTACGCTTCAGTCGCGGGATTGTTCTTTTGATCCACTTTTAGGAGCGAAGAAACCATCTAGTGCGAGCCAAGAAGCATCAATCTCTTCAGGAAACCTTATTTTGCCGAAACAACTTCCACTCGGTGAAGGCGACGACAACGAATATGGCTTTGCAGCGCTTGACCATGCTCGCCTCAACCATAGTGGCTTGCTCTTGATTGATCGACGCGCAAATGATCCGAGACTACTGTGGATATCTGCAAACCCTGAAATCAAACCAGGCTCTTCTTCTCTGGTGAGGAAAACGCGTTGTATCAAAAGAGCGGAGCCTCTCAGGTGTCAGCAAAGAAGATTACCACAAGGTATGGCTCACATTGTCTGGTGCACTAGACTCGGATGGCACAACACTTGCCGCTTACTTCGCGGAGACTAGGAAGGCAACGCCTGGGGTCCCATTGAAGTCGCGTGTTATACTCATTATCTGGAGTCTTCGCGCTGAGGAAGACGATGATATTCTCCAGTGGAGAGTCAATCTATCTAAAGCGCGGCACAGATACAAGGACGCCATCTCTGCAGCTATGGATGACTTGCATGGTCAAATGCACTGCCAGGAAGGTATAAATGGTATTGAAACGCTGGTGCAATAGGTCTCTGATCTAATGTATGATACAGAAACTTGGCAGCTTCTAGCAGCTCTTTTCGCACTTTCTCGTGCTCAATGCGTAAGGGGATGCGAGACTTTCTGAAAACGAAAGAAGGGCTACGGTGAAGAAGATTGGACATGCCACGGAAGCAGAAGAGCTTTCTCAAACAAGTACCTTGCTGAATTCGAGATATCTGCTTGCCTTTCGAGATGACGGTAAGCTGGTCACCCCACTAGGCTTACTGGATGTCAATTTGGCTCAGTATCAACCCAGGTACGCTGAGCCTTCATTTGAGCAGCAGCTGGTAATTGTACCCACTGGCCAATGGATAAGCTCACTACCAGAACATGCACAGCACACACTTGAATTCCGCAACCCGGAGGACAGCAAGACTATCACCACGTTAGAAGCATCTGCTTTGGGCGATTATGAGAGTTTTGGCGAGATCGTCGATTGCAGCTCTTCCGGTCGTCTCGTCGCTGTGACACTTAAAAATACAAGCCCTCCAAAGGACGACTTGGCTATCTTGGATCTGCTCGAGTGGACCTACAAAACAGTGCTGCCGAGCAGTCGTCGAGGGACAAACTCCAGAGTTCTCCGTACCTTTTTCTGTCCCAAAGATATGCACATGATTGTCAGCTGTGCGAAATACGACGTTGAGGTAATACCCGAGCGATTCGTAATTGACATATCTCGAGGCTCGTACCAAGCACTGGAAGCAAATGAGAAGCTTCTGTCGTATGTGCTTTGCGTAAGCTGCAGTTATGGCAATACTCAGTTGAGCACCAGGGGTTGCAGGTTACCCCGAGGACTCTCTGACGATGCTTTGCGCCACAATGTCTCGTTAGAGAGATCACCGTCAAGCATTTGCCCATCACGCCCGCGCTTTTATGACTGTCTCTACTCTCTATCGTCCAGCAAGGACTTGGAATAATTCCTTGGTCAGCTAATTGGAAAGCTGTCTGGAAGTCAAAAGAGGAGAAAAGATGGGTGGCGATGGCGACGATGAAAGTCTTGAAGGCTCTCCTCCCAGCACTTCATGGAGTGAACAAGACGCAGGCTCAAACTGTGGCTTGGTAGGCTTCTTGTGCTCAGACAGAACTATGAGCATCGAGCGCATATGTCTGAGCTCCTTTTTGACCCCTGGTTCGGACGATACTCAAAAGCATGAGGAGGCTGGATTATATTTGCGCAGGGGATTCTGTGCCTATTCCTCCAGAAAACATACCTTGGCTGCAGCTTCTATAGGTTGTACTGATGTTCTTACTATACACTCGCATTTACATTCTATTTATCTACGCTATGGATTAGAAAACCGGTCTTGTCATCTCTCAGAGAAAGGAAAGATTTAGTCCTGACGAGTCCACTCAAGGGACTAAGCGCGATGGCTTACATATTTGCGTCTATAAAGAAGATTTAAGTACTTCGAGAACGTAATCGTTTTAAAGCTATAAATTAGCATTTATATTACTGTATAGCCTAAAGAAGGAATCCGGCGTTCTTACTCTCGGTCCCGTGGCTCTAAAGAAATATTAATAAAGGGAAGCGCTCGAGTTACTTCGATTTAGGTAGGTAAGAGCTATCTAATAGTCGGCGAGAGAATTACGTATAAAGTTTACGGAATTTAGGAAGTCGCTAATATATTTCAGCTCTAGTAGTAGGATAAATAGGTAATTACATTCGATATTTCGGTGACTTTTCATTCCTACACCTACTCTCTATAGGAAAAGTAAACTAACTAGAGCTAGTCGCAATAATATTCGCGCACGAGTATACACCGCCAATAAACTCCGGTCGGATATATTTAAAGCGCGGTCGCGGTTAATGTCGGACTCTTACGCTTTAAGGACTTTTATCTCTTTTTAATGTTTATTCGTAGTTATAGAATAGTCTTTATCTTTCACTTATTTCTTGGCTTTTAGCGTTTCGTTAAATTACCTTCTAAGGAGTTACAATACGTTATACCCTTTCGAGGTTTACTAGGTAATTCGTATTCTACACTTCATCGCTAGTACTCTCGAATACTCTAGTTATTAGTACTACTCCTACTTCGTCGCGCTTAATAAATAATACGGAGTTCGCCCCACTATAGGTGATTTATATAGTAAATTCGCCGTATAGTCCCTCGTAACTAACTATAAACTAGTTTCCCTTACGTCTACCCTTTTCCGTTACGCATTACTATCGACTTAAACTGTGTAGCGAGAGTAATGTCTCGCTTTAAGCCCCTCGCGTTCTACACGAGATTATCTTTAATTCAGCGCCACTAACGATTATTTCGCAGCATAGAGACCCATTAAAGTAGGACTCCGTAGTGCTTATCGAGCGAGACTAAGTTAATGGGGGGTGGTAGCACTTCCTTTCTCTCGCACGAGTAATAGTGTATATACGTAATATTCTTTTTGATATAACGTAAGCAACCTAAATTTAGACTCTAAGGATCTATTAATAGTTATATACTATTTTTAACTAAACCCCCTACGTTTTCTAGCGAACGGAGCCCTCGAAAAGGGCATTAAAATACGATAAAACGCTAGGGGAGATTCCTAGTTAACTAAATTTCGAAACAGCTTCCCCCCGGTCCTACTAATCGAGCCGATATAGTTAACCGACCGCATCCTTCCCTACTTTTAGTTTAATAAATTAAATGGATATTCTATCTCCTATAAACTATATAGCCTACTAGAGTTTTCAACGTTTCTTAATTAAAGCCCTTAAACTTCGCGGCGGAAGTACTTATATATATCTAGCCGATAGTCTTAATATATTATATTAGCGGTATCCTAATTCGACTACCTAGCTTATCGGTTTTTATATATAGGCCGAAGATTTTCGGCGAGCTCTCCTACCTCCGCCGTAGAATACTAACTACGTATATAAGCTAGATATATATATTAATATAAATAAAAGTATAACCCCCGATCGTATCGGGCCCTCTTTTATACTCGCCTCGGGAATAACTCTATTCGAAAGGAATAACTTCTCATTAGTAAGTCTAGTCGACCATTTTAATTTTCGGGATATTAATTATAATTAAGGGTAGGCGACCGTAGAAGCTTTACTAGGCCCGGAAATTTATTTAAATATATATATCCTCCCTTCCGCGGACGTTAATACTACTAATAACGAGGTAACCTTAAGAAATACTAATGTAAGCTATAAATTAGGTGGTCCGACCCACGGTATAATTATACCGTTACATCTAACGGTGTACATAAACTCTCACTATAAGACTAGTAAAGATTAGCCATTTAATAGAGAGCCGAGTCCCGGAAGTAAGATAACTTCTAATCGAAAAGCTCTTACTTATAGTACTAAACGTACTTCCGATACATAGGATTACTAGTCTCCCCGTATTAGTTTTATACCCTTTTCGAAGGAGGAACAAGGACTACGGCAACGAAGAACTTTACGTATAGATATAAGAAATAGTAGCGTAGTACAGGAAGAGGACGAGGTATAGGAATAGGATGGTACATAGGAAGAGGACGTAGTACGGTAATAGGATGACGTATAAGAAGAGGGCGATATACAGTAAAATAACGAAGCACAACAATAGGATAATATACAGCAAGAGAATGAAGTATAGGAAGAGGACGGAGCACAATAATAGGATAATATATAGTAAGAGAACGAAGTATAGGAAGAGGACGGAGTACAATAATAGAATAATATATAGCAAGAGAACGAAGAATAATAAGATAATGTACGAGAAGTAGACGAAGAGGACGAGGTATAGGAAGAGGACGAAGTATAGCTACGCTATATTGTATAGTAGGAGGACGAAATACAATAATAAGATAATATATAGGAAGAGGATACTAAGGAGAATATATTCTAGGAAGAAATAGACGAAGATAACTACGAAGACTAAATATCTAGTCCGACTTTAATACGATAGAAAAAGTTAAAAAACTCTACGAGAAGGCTACTAGGTATTAACCCTATTAGTTAAAGAAGATATTTAACTTATCGTTAATCTAAAAAACGACCTCTTAAGGATATTTTCTCCTAAGGCTCTTCCTTAAAACGTTCTAAGGTAGTAACGTACATAGACAATAAGCTCTAAATACCTATTATTATCTCGATAAGTACGGAAACTCCTATCGATCTATCCCTTTAGGAGGAATAGGATATAAAAAGATTAACTATAATGAAGGATAATTAATATAGTGACTACTCTATTAAAGCTATCCGGATATAGAAGGGCCTCTATACGAAATATAGCCCTAGGCTTTCGCGTAGTCGAAAGGGATAAGATACGTTTCGGGTTAAATTCGATAAAATTTACTTAATAGTATTAGGGATCGCTAATGTTTATAGCTTTCTAGCGCTACGAGAGGTTATAGATCTTTTATAGTAGGATAGAGTAGCTTAGACTTCCGAGATCTTTAGCAACGATCCTAAGGTTCTATTAGAAGCGGTAGGCGCTTTTAAAACGGCCGGTTACTTAAATAGCTATATACGACGATTTACATTAGCGCGTCTAGCTAATATTTATCTTGAAATAGCGGTAAACGGAGGACGCCTAACACTCGATAATAATCTAGCCTATCTATCTCCGCGGACGGCGATAACTAAGGCGCATAAAGTAGGGACCTATAAGGCTATAATACTCTATATATAGGGCGTATAATTCCCTACATAACGTAATAGAGTTAAATTAATAAAACGAGGCTTAATTAATTTATCCGCTACTAATACGTTATAGTGGAATAAATATAAGGACCGACTCCGTTATAAAATCGATACCGGCTAACGCTAGCTAAGCCTAGCCTATAGGTTTAGCTAGTCTACCCTTAGCCTAATTATACGAGACTAGTCCATTAGAAAGAGTATAGTAGCCGCTAGTAACCGCTTATAAGTAAAGCCTCCGAGCGATTTTAGGAGAGAGCTAAAAAAGAGTTATAGTTTTAAGGAAGACCTTATAGTTTTAGAGTACAATAACCTATTGCACGTAATCGAGCGTAAGAAAGGATAATACCTTCGACAACTTAATAAAGCGCTAAACATAAACCTTTTTAATTTATTGAAGGACCTAAAATGGGCGTAGGATCTTCCCTTATTATAATTAATAGAAGAAGAGATTATAATACGAGCGGATAAGGATCTATAATAGATTAATGCGTTAAGCCTTATCTAGCTTTTAGGCCCAGGAAGCTTAGTATCTTCTACTCCTACGTAGGGTAATTAACTAACTAAGAAATGGCTATAATGCTAGGCCTCTTGCTAAGCAATTCTTATACCTCTTTAATAGTATACGTATCTTATTCTGTTTACGACCTAGTTACTATTCCTACTAACTAGCTAGGTTTAATCTTAAAAGTAGTGCGTATACCTAACTTAAGGATATAGGTACTAAGGCGGTAGATCCGTAGTAGATCTCGAGACGTACCAATTTACTCCTAGTACTTTATAGATTTAATATCGCCTAAATTTCCCCCTTCCTATCTAATAAGTAGTATACATTTTCTACTGTGTGATTTCGGTTAGGCGGCCCTATTATTTATATGTATATAGAATCAAGAGATATTCCTTACTCGCTTTGCCTTGTAGCCTAGGAGCCGGGCGTCGTTTTGCCGCTATAGGGTTACATTTTTTATGAACTTATCAAGTTAAACTACCGGATTAGCAACTTTTCTATATAATGCCCCCCTCTAGGAGCTCCCGAAGCTAATTCATCGACGGCATTAATGCCAGCCTATATGTGGTCGAGATTCTCCTAGTTAGGTCCGTTGCGAGCCCTCTCTATCTAACTAGTCTAAACCGCAATCACCGAAAGGAATCGGATTACGTCTCCTTCTCCCATCTCAGATTAGTCTAGGCGCATCCTCTGCCGGGTAAATCCACGCGAGTTATCATGATTCACGTTCTTTGCATGCACATGATGGATGCAAGTCACGTGCATGGTCAAGAAATGTTGCTGCCAAAGACTCTATACTCTGCCGTAAATAATTTACCGTATTAATTCTCTCACTAACGCAGTTCACAAAGCGACATTGTTCTGCCTCATATGCCCCGATCGGCGTCTCATTGAAGCTGCTATACGAGTAACAGAGTAGTAGAGACGTCTCAGGAGATGCAAAACTAGCCGGTATAGATCAATTCACTAGTAGTTATATATAGAGAGTAGAACAGCAGCCATAAGTAGGGAAAATAGAGACATTTTTGACATCGAGTTGCAACATATGGAGGCTAAGAGATGGCACAAATAGGTCGAACCAGCATATCCCGAGGGAGAGGTCAGGGTAAATGAAATATTATCATCATCACTGTACTGTACTGTATCACGGAGCTTTGTTGAAAGGGATCTTAAGTCGCACATCTTCAAAGTGTGTCAACTCGCGCTCCGCCTCTTTAACTGGACATCCGCTCGTAGACTGGATGCCTCGTTTGCTGTGAATGATCTGCAGTGCACAGCTCTTCTTGTAATTCGATGATGAGTTCCCGAGCACTCCTAACTTCTGCAAAACTCTCTACATCGTCCGAGAATGTCGAATACATCTTCTCGTTCGGAATGTAGCTTGACTTCAGTTGAGCCACGTAGCTACAAATTTTGGACTCTGGTGTCGAGGAAAGTCACGAAGAGTCCGTTGAGAAACCAGTTGAGAAAACCGCGGACTCAAAATGGTTGTGCCCCAACTCGCATGGCACTCCAAGGCCTGAATTCTCGCCACTCGCAGATTTTGGAACACCTTTTGTTATATTCATCAGGCATCTGTTCGCCCTCGGTTCGGAACTTGTTCAACCACCCACCAGTTATTTTAAATACCATGGTGGGCAGTAGCAGGTCAGCACTTACCACTGGCCAGCTACTTCAGGACTTTTTGAAGTTTACTTCGTGTCGCACCCGGTTGTTAATATAATATTCACCTCGGCAGTGAAGAATTCCACTAGCGAGCCAATAGAAAGTCGTTATTTACGGAGATTCGGACATACGCAAGGTCACGGAATCAGCCAAACCTTGTCATGATAGCTTCAGGTATCCGTAATTTCCATGGCCATAGTCACCCAAAGTGGTCCGTGAAGCCGCTACATGGGGTGCTCATCTTGCGTAATTGCGAGGCTGGACAGTGGTGCAAGGAACATGGTGCTGCTAACCACCAAATTTGGGGAGATGCAGGCAGCAAGACGTAAGAGAAGGTTAGAGACGCCATTCCAAATCTAGGGTGTCGACCACAGAAAACCGTGGTGCCTCCTATGGCTATCAGGGTCAAAGCGATCTCGCACTGATTTCCAGTTTTCTCTCTTCGAGCAGACGTAAATGCATAGTCGAGGAGTTACGGGCATTCATAAGTCTTCCAGCAGCAATCTACGTAAGAGATGCAATGGTTGACCGGATACCTCTTATGCTAGCCACCTCGCCTGAGACCAGCTCCCGTGCCATATAATGGCCACGAATGCCATCCCGAGATTATCTCGCACTACCTCGTCCTTGACCCCGCAATGCTCTGCAGCAGATCTCCCGCTGTTGGACGGACGTGCCTGTGAAAAGCACGTTGAAGAGCGGAGTTGTTGAGCTACGGGCAAGCCTATGCTGTCAAATGGCAACTTGCAAGAGTGGCTGAATGATCGACCGGGGATTCCGCCTAGGAATAGCCGCAACTCAGCCTTCTTGGCGACTTCACTTTTAGCGTTATCGTCACGGAAGGTTAAGCGAGGCTGGCATAACCAGATGAAGGGTGGCTTTGCCCAAAAGCGGATAATAGCTTCCGCGGGAGATATTGATTTTCCCTGCTCTTCTCTTTCCGTCTCTCACAAAGAAGCTACGTACACGTTAGGATAAATTGCTGAAATCTACAACAGTCATGGTCAATGGCGAGCCTCCTAACCCCTCACTCTTGCGAATACTGTCAGAGGCTTGAAATCGACCCAAAAAGCCTGAAGCCCAGTGGTAAAAGAGAAAATGAGCTGGAGATGCAGATCCCGGGGCACTTAATCCTCAATGGAGCCTCGAATGGCTGCGAATTCTTCAACCGGCTCACGCCCGTCAAGCAGCAGGAGCTTCAGCAGCTTGAGAACAAGGGCGTTCATGTCAATAATCTCAAAGTAAAGATGCAACATTATATCTGGGCTTTAGAGTTGGCTCAAGGGAAGACATTCTGTCGGTCATGGCGATAGGGTGTCAACTTGAAGGCTACGGCACCCCTGGTATCCATTTTACTCTACATTCACCTTCTGGTACAGAAACCTAACATGCTGCAAGACGATGGACAAATGAGAAAGTCCAAGCTAACGCATGTTGTCAGCAGACGACCCCAGTTCCATGTGGATATCCCAACGACCGACAAATAGAGAACTAGGCAATGCCATCAGCTTTAAGCTTTTACGCACTTGGATGACAGAGTGTGCGGAAAGCCACGACGGCTGCCAGCAACGTGCCAAAGACGTTCACAGCTTCCGTCCAAGTCGCCTCATAGACGTTGAATCTCAATCAATGCGGCGTATTTAACTCTGCACAGCACCTAGACTTAAGGATTCGGGCCCGTACTGTGGGCTGAGCTACTGCTGGGGAGGCAATCAGCCCGAGAACACCACTCTGTCGAACGTTCGTCAGCGGCTGCAGGGGTTTGACTTGGAAAGCCAGCCGAGGACGATCCAGGATGCAGTCCGGGTCACGAGGATATCAGGCCATAGATATCTCTGGATTGATAGTCTGTGCATCATCCAAGACGACCCCGACGACATGGCGAGAGAATTGAGCCTCATGCATCGGATTTACGATTCTGCTACTCTTGTCATTTCAGCTGCGAATGCAAATTCTAGCACCGAGGGATTCTTACGGCTTTGTGAACCTGCGATGCTTGCCTATCAGCTTCGCTATCGATGCCCAACAGGAGACTTGGGCACTGTTGTTCTCGGTTGGAATGACAGCGAGTCAGAAGATCCCATCCATCGCCGGGCTTGGACACTTCAGGAACATCTTCTTGCGCCACGTCTTGCCATATATGGCACAAAAGGCCTCCGGTTTTCTTGTCGACGGGGATCATTCATAGATGGCTCGCAGACGCCTTGGCCCGTGAACATCGCTGAAAGGACTACCGAGGGGAACCGCGTCAGTTCCGGCCGTTTAAGAAATGACAAAGACTGGAACCAAAAGGGAGGCTGGTACATGCTTGTGCGAATTCCACCGGAGACAACTTTCTCACCCCACCGACCGCCTTGCTGCCATTTCAGCCCTTGCGAGTAAACTTGCTGAGGAACATAACGATAGATACCTAGCTGGTCTCTGGGAATCTGATTTATCAGTCGGTTTGCTATGGGAAGTCGACAATAGATCCCGAGCTGGTCTCTGGGAATCCGATATAGCCGGTTTGATATGGGACATCGGCGATATATCCCGGACCTACCCGGAATGTCCGGAACCCCCCTTTAGGGACCAAGTGGAGGGGTTCCCTTCTTGGTCTTGGGCCAAACTCTCAGGCTACACGGGGCTCGGTATCACAGATGGTTTCCGTGTTCCCGGCAGTTGGTACCACAGCAGCATTCAGCTACTTTGTGCTGAGGTAAGCCTGGGCCATCCAGGGGCGCGCTATGGCCAAGTTCTCGCAGGGTGACTCCGTCTTAGAGGTCGTCTTATACCGGCTATATGCCAAGCAATCGGCTGCTACTCGAACGAAATGAAAAGGTTCCCTTGGCCTTATGTCATTTTCGGCTTACAAGAACAACGTTCGGCACTATTCGTTCTTAAGGGAGTCGTGCAGCAACGACCGGGTCACAGATTTGGTTCTGACATTGAAGCAGGAGCCATTCTTGACACAAAGATGGAGCTAGAGGAGCTAAAACGATGTTACTACCTCGAGATTCTTCATACGAGTACCTACAAGATAAATAATTACTCGCAAGGACTCATCCTGGTCGCGAGAAATGCAGAGTCCACAATCTTTGCTCGGGTTGGTAAAGGTGCACTTCAACATGTTGCCGGAAAGACCGGCCGCGGAATTGATGATGAAGCGGATGAAAGCCAAAGGTTTCATCTTGAATGCTGGAGGAAGGCCGTCGATATGGTCGAGTTTGAGTTGGTTTGATGTTTGCAGAAGGGAAGAGATCATTACTGTAGTATGATCCGCACCCGATTCACGGTCTTCAAAGCAATCGCGAAACGTTAATTCGTTACCATTGGAGACAGTCGTCCTCAATTCGGCCATTGTAACGAATAAGGCATTTAAGCCTATTGTCTTCATCATAAGTCAGAAACCAGCAGTGAAGCAATATAATCGTCGTAAACGGAGACGGTCGGTCGGTTAGAACTTATTATTCGCAACCTGTCGACAGAGCAAAACTCAAGGATGGGATGCGACATCCTCCAAGAAACGATTGTCTGATCAGCACAATAGACGAGCACAGCAACAGCCGGTATGAAGGACCCAAATATGCGGATACAGAGCCGCACACGGTACCGCGGCCGCTACTCTCCCTCCGGAACATATTCATCCGCGACCAAGTCGACGAAACATTGCGCATTGAAGCTGTATCCGTTCCATTGAAAATGCTTATTGGGTTCATGTTGCATAAGATCTGGGGTGTGTCTGTCCGTAATTATGTAACATTATGCAGGTCAAGTGGTTGGCATGTGGCAATGAAAAGGAAAGAGTAGGGAGCAAAACGCGTAAAACGTGGTTAAGTGTGGTGGTCCACTTTTTTTTGGCCAGGCCTTGGAGGGGTTAAAGAGAGTAGATCCGCTTCTTCACAATTGAAAGAGCACGGAAGAGCGGCGCACCGAGTTCAATGGTCATTTTGTTAGGAATTGTGCAATGTAGGACCAAATCAGAGGGTTGAATAGGACCGAGCGGCTTAGCGGGTCAACGATGCCAAGCCGGCACATTGAGATCCAGTACGCAGATCCGTCATACCATGTCCGAACCAAAGGCGCCGCATGTTACTGTACTAGCATAGAATGATTGGGATCCCGAGCATTCAATGAATGGCGGGTCGATAAGCATAGAGACAGAGAAATTGATGAATGGAAGACTGTTTCGCGATAGGAATAGGGCGGCATGCATAAGTAATGCGTGCGATGAAATGCTTAGATAGCTACGTCTAAGGTTAAACCATCCTTTATGCGACCACCCCGACTGCGGGGGCGGGCCCTGACGGGAAGGAAAGGCGAGCCAGGCACAGCATCGTTGGCAAGGCTGACACTAATCATGTAATTACCGAGACAGGAACTGCCTTGTAAGTTTGACACGTGACGGCATGTGATCTTTGCAGAGACTTAGGGCCCTTCAACGGGAACGTAAACGACACAAACCTTGAACACGGCCCTGTCTCCATTGACCTCAAAATTGCACCGCAACGTCACACAGCATTTAGTCGTATGAGTGCTAATCGACGTCCCGGTGTGGTGAAATGCCCTTCGTCGTGAAATAGGGCCTGGGTACTTCGAGTGCCACCACATCCAGCACACTACTTACCGTTTAAATAGACGGTCTGAAGATGCACGTACGTTCTAAAGCCGTATTCTATTGCCATTGCCACTCTCCTTCATGTAAACCAGAATTTGATATCTGCACTAGCGGCCACATTAGCAACGACGGTTATGACGGCAACGGTTGCTGCAGACTAACTCATAACGCTGTATCAGCGGTTCTCGTGCTTCAGGTTCAAGGATTTTTGCTGCTCCGCGAGCTTTGGTCGATGAAAGCACTACAACATGTACCACTGTCCTTCAAGATTCCTCAAGCGACACAAATAATAGTCTAGTTCCCGCTGCGGGCATTCCGCTATGTCGGGATACTTGTAGGCGGTACAGCAGAAGTCGTGCATCCAAACTTCTCTGGCAGCTTCGTCGTTGCAATAACAGTGAGGGCTGTCATCTCGGTCCATCTCAGCCTCGTATTTATTCATAGATGCCTGCAGATCCTCTCTGTTCGGCTTGTTTTCTGGACAAGCCTTGCCGATAAAGATGTTCTGATCGACTAAGCTTCCCAAACGAAGCTTATGTTCCGACCTTGTCAATCCCTCGACCAGCCACGCTTTTAGAGGCTCCTAAGTTATGTGTTCTTTATCGAGAGTCGTTGGAATTCAAAGGGGGAGAACCTTGAAGCCCACCGGGGAACTTGGGCAAGGGCCACGCAAAGCCTCATACAATGCCACATATGGTCTATCCTAAGTGGAAATTGGAGTTGCAGCATGCATGCAAAATCCAGGATAGCTACCACTGTCTGGGACCCATCCCACGGGACTCAGGGAAGCCATGAATTCTATTATCCGTGAGTACTAGATTGAACAAGGCCGGCCGGTTCGGACGTCAGCAGGCAGAAGAGCTCGCAGGTCGGGCGAACCTGGGACCTCGTCACACTGCGTCAGCCTTTCCGACCTGGGGCCGTCCAAGTTTTCCACACCAGATAACTTGTTTGACAGTCCTTCCAAGGTTATCCTGTCCACTGGATCCACTGCCACGCACCGAGCTATAAGAGACTGCAGAAGCTTCGGCGTCGTTGCGTCGTGGCCGAATTCGGTCGGGAAATCGCATTGGTCGTTCACCCAACCTTTATCTTGGTATATATCGAGCATTGAGATGCCTTCACATACCAGGTACATCGTCCGACCTATAGAGTAAATCTCCGAAAGTACCACAATTTGCAACGGCCAGTCTTCAGGAATTCCAACCGATGTTCTACATGGAGCGTGAGTGCTAATATACTTTCTTGCTTCTGGACTCGTAGTGGCAGAGGTTGTAAACGCACGAGCCAAATCTATGAGGACGGCGTTTTCGTCGTCGTCTATCACGATATTGTCTGGCTTGATGTCTCCGTGCCAAGTCTCTTTCTCTGCTAAGAACCGGACCGCATCGACTAGTTGCCCAAGCCACTTGTACAACTTTTCGACTGTTATTGTCCCCTTACTACGCAGCCTCCGTGCGTAAATATCGAGGTTCCCGTTGCGGTAATGAGGCGCGAGGAACCCGCAGACTCGCTCATCAATATCAGACACCGTGACTAGAGCACAAGGTGGGGGAATGATGTTTGGATGAGGTGGGAGGATCACCAAGTTGCGGATCTCCTGATAGTCATAGTATATTCGCGTCGAGTATATTGGGCCTTTTGCAACATATTCGCGGCTTTCGTGGCATACGAGCCGCGTACTCGGAAGAAAATAGGAGCCTGGCTGAATGATGGGCTGCAGACAAGTTGACGGAATGGACGGTGGCAAAGTCATGTCAGTCTCAAATATATCAGTCGCGCGCTGTAGATGAGGCAACAATACGTAATCGATTTCTTCTTCAATATGCGGACCGTCGCGCGACGACCGCACTCGGAGACTCTTGGCCCTAGCATTTGCGGGCAGGCATAGTCCCCTCCAATAGCAATTTATGAAAGAGGACTTGAGGTTTGGGTTGGGCTGACCCCGAGATTAATTGGTTTGAACCAACTATACCACACTAGTGCGGCAGTTATGCAGCGCTCAGCTATGAGTACACTGCTCCCCTCTCTTGCTTCCAACGTCTTAAAAGGATGAATGCCAGCTAGAGTAGATTTTGGTGGCACTGGCCGCGAAAGGAGACCCAGACGGAACTAAATGTAGCGCTTAAGCTTGTTAAGTTTAACGAGAAAGTCGTATCCATGCAAAACTAGGTTCACGAGGGCCTGGCCGCTCTTGTGGTTTCATCCGTAGACAAGGCGGAGTATCACTCTCTATGTCTTATTCACTATGCATTCTACAGGTGTTTGAGTGGTTCTCCTCGCACCAAGATGTTTGCCGAGAGCAGCAAAGACAAGATCTGGGTTCAGCCTGATGGACCATTGATAAGAAACTCCGCAGGCAGAAGAGGCGCATCTCTCGGGGAGAGTTTGCGCTGATAGGAACTGAACTTGGCATTACTCCTGCATTCGGACTGTGAGTGGTGGTAGAACTTTAGTTCAAGCCACCTCGGAATAACCTGGGCTCGACCGGAGCCATGATCCATTCGATACGGGGTCAGGGTCCTCAGAAGTTGGGGGCTCAGAGCGATGTTGGAGCTGGGTCAGCCGCACCCAACGCCAAATCTGTCCCAGCCCACCTGTCCTACTTCCATGAAGCTACGAATGCAAATGGCAGTAGTCTATATAATATGTACAACAATGTCCTGCTATGGATGTAGTCAAAATGTTCCGCAGGAGGATAGGTCCATTCACCTTCAATGTCGTCCAATTGCAGGCCACTAGCAGGGATTACTGACATGGCAGGCTTGTAAGTCCAAAGGGTAGAGTCTGGAGCCGGCTGCAGTGTTGGCTTTGGAGGTCCACACTTGGAAGAAGAAAATCTGAGGAGGGCGGGCGTCCAGAAAAGCGGGCCTAATCCAGGCCTCTCCAGGCCAGGCTCCTAACCAAGTTCGCTTCGGTTGTGAGAGCCGAACGGGCCATGGCTACCCTGCAGGGGCCACTGCCTAGTTCCACATCCTTTCCTGCGTGCCGCCACCAGCTCATCCCTGCGCTAGCTCGTCACTATCTGCTGCAAACCCTCGTCCATCTAGGCTACGCCAAAAGTTAAACGCGCAACGCGATTAGGCGGATTTCCCGGTAGCAACCTTACGATTGGTCTCAGAAGACACAATTAAGCACATGGGAATTGGCCAATTCCCTTCCAGCGGTGAATGTGTCAGCAGGTGTGGTGGCACCACAGAGATTCCACTCACCACCAAACCCTGCCGAAAGTCTTCGCCTGTCCCCATTTTTGTGCAACTTCTGTAAATATAAAGTAGCTCACCTGCGCTGGCGACAGGTGAAGCCTGCGTCAAATGACGTAGCATACCGCATTATCGGGGATCCGGGCCGTCCATCCGCTAGGCCCGCAGCGCCACGACGGTCGTCACGCAGGCCGTCACAAGGATGCTGTTTGCCTGCTGTGGAGGACCACCGATCTGGCGCCTGAAATCCGAAGAAAAGCTGCTCACCGCTTAAACAATAATGGTTTACTGGCTCACTCCACACAGTGACATTAATTACCCCTATAAAATGGTAGCGGCTTCCTAGCCAAACCTAGCATGACGGACACGAGTCACACTCCCTCCTATCCACTGGGTCACCCTCAATTTCGGGACCGACCCGTTGTCTCACAATACCTGGCAAGTCTCGAAACTTCTTTTTTGCCAAACTACCGCAAGAGCCGCGCTCGAATCGAATTGCCACATGGAAGGCTCCCGCACTGCAGGTACCTCGAAGTTAAGCATCAAAAAGGTAATTCACGAGGTCGAATGGTCAGGGCTGCTCACTGCAGGCGCGTATTGCTCAATACGCTAGTCTGAACCAGTCGGGGAGGCTTCCGCCGAAATCGTTTTGATTAGAAACACCGACTTAGTGGGATGGCGCCTGCTAAGATTTTGTAAGAGTTCAGTCGGAGCTTGCTGCCGATTTGAAAGACTCCCCCAAGGAAGTGCTTGGAATATGGATGAGACTGGCATGGTTCCCCGAGCTTACCACAACCAACAAGTAATAGGGACAATCAACCCGTCTCCAGCACCTGACATGGGTTACAGCATATAGCTCTCCTGTTATTGGTCTCTTCCATCAAGGTAGGATGCAATAGGGACCCCTACACTAGTAGATTGTAACCTTTCCAACACAAGGCTGCCTCTTGAGAATATGTGCCCCCAGTCTACGGTACTATCAGGGAAAGATTCGATTTGTCAATACCTTAACCTCCTGCAAGGAACAGACCTCTTATGAAATTTTTATCCAATAAGCACAAAGTTCTGCTAGCATATTCCTAGTCAAGTCAAATATGCTGAAACAATGGTCACTAGTTTCCCCCATCTCAACTACGTATAGTGGCTGAGGTATCCTTAGCAATATAAAGACATTCTCGTTGCTCGCATCCGAAGTTGCTCTATTCTTTCTTGTGTTTCACATGTAAAACTATTGATTGCTTCCCATGGTAACATTAGTGGCACAATGGCCGAAACTTTGGGCATTGCTGCATCTGCGATAAGTATTGTTTGTTTTGCGGGTCAAATCTTACAAGGCTGTCAGAATATATGTACATTCCTTGATTCATTCAACGACGTGCCAGATGATCTCAGAGATTTTCGAAAACAGTTGAAGATGTTCCACTCCTTGCTGGAGTCTTACCGAATTGTACTCGCAGAAAGCGATGAATCGGTTGGGTCGGAGTGGTCTAATCTAACAAGATTGGCGCTGGACTATAGTGACGAAGCAATGAGGGAGTTGCAGAAGCTACTAGGGAATTGGAGTGATACGCAGAGGAGATGGAAAGATGTTATAGTGGTATTGAGGAAGGAAAAATTTTCGAAACACCTAGGCAGAATTGAGAAAGCAAAGGCTTATATTCTGGCATCGATGACCAGTACGGCTTTGTAAGTCTTCCCTTGCGCTTGTTTGGAGAGAACTTTTGTGGTCAGGTTCTGATTTACTTTTAGTGTGCACGAGTTCAAGAAATCAGGCATCGCTCACGATACGCGAGAGACACGCCGTGCTATTTCGACTTTGGAATCTAAGTTCAGTGCGACCGCGAAGACTGTGTCGGCTATCTCGAATAATATTCGAGGCATTGAACAAGCAGCTCATGAAACAAGAATCGCTGTGGAACACTTGGGTGATTCCATCTCCGAGAAATTCGCATATCTCCCAGTGGGCATCAACACAATGTTCGAAGCCACGTTGCGAAAGGTCCTCCGGGAGTACTACGGGATTTCCGTAAGACCCGGGGCGCCTCCAGGCTCTGGCAACTATGGAAATGATTATCTCGACCGTCTGTCTACTGCCACAAACCTAATGCATACGTCGCATTATAATGGACGTTTTGGTCACAGGGTTATGAAGCAGAATCGAAGAAAGGTAGCAGTCCAAACATGGTTTGGTACTATCTTCATCCATTCCACGACATTCACAACTCAAGAGACCGCCAATACGCATTGCCTGAAGGTCCACGTGGCTATGCAAAAGACCACGCAGACAAGCTTACATGTGGTTATCACGCCGTGTATGTTACGAATTGGATTGTTCTGCGGGATTATTTGGAGAAAAATAAGTAGGAATCATCCCGAATTCGACATGAATCTGCGAGTATACAATGATGTTGACGCAGCGGCACCAATAATCCAAGCTTGCGAAGCTGCAAATATTCAAGAAGTACAAAGATTGTTTTCAGAGGGCCAGGCATCGCCATTTGACCGACTTAAAGGCAAGAAATCTCTTCTTGATGTTGTATTGGAACGGATGGTTCTCCTCCCTATGCGACGAGATCCCGAAAATGCCCTAAAAAAATTACAAGATCTCTATGAACTTTTCAAGATGATGGTTGGCCACGGCTTAGACCCCGGACAGCTTTGGAGTCATAGAGACAAATCCAGCCCAGGACCACTGCCTTTCTTAGCAATGTTCCCATTCTTCTCGTCGCCAGAATTCGTACCCACCATTCTCAACATCGCCCGCATTATTATCGAACACAGTGTCCAAGACCCCTATTCAACTGCAGACTTCACCGAATTGCTTCGGTTTTTACAGAACGCTCCGGCTTGGAAACCCCTTCCTGTCTCGCAGCTCGTTTTGCACCAAGAACACTGGCAAACTGAGTTGGAGATCAGGGAGACGGTTGTGCCATACCAGTGCGATCAGAACCCAAGGCAACTGGGTCCGCGAGACGCACAGTGCCTCCGGACCTGGCTAGAGCACGCGGTGGATCAGAGAGAAGCCATCATGGCGATACGCTACTCGTCATATCTCTTTGCGAACGTAGTTCGCTACGGTGGTTTACCAGAAGACATCGGAGAGCAATTGCACTACCATTTTTTGTTTGTCACTCTGGAATTCGGTATCGACATTCAAGATGACCGTGATGGGCCATCATTACTTGCGACGCTTAGGTACACGGGGAAGTTGCATCAGTTACGTACTGCGCTCCGGTATCTCATGTGGGACGAGGACGATATCACAGAGTTGTTTGAGACTGAGCTCCTGGTTTCGTTGGTCTTTCAACTAGCGCATTTAGAACGCCACGATGTACGCGGAAGAGCTCTACCGACGACGATAGGATTCGAGCTCGTAACAGCCCCCGAGTGGAATTGCTACCTTAAAGGCTTGGATTCTACAGCATCTGGTAGTTGCCCTTCCCATCCACCGATTCACGCACGGCCAACCCAAGAAAGCGATCATTTTTTTAAAAATGGTCACGAGACAACACAGACTGGGCAGCAAATCCATGGAAGGAATACGCAAATCTCGGGCGGATTCTGGAGAGTTGCCTGCGACCTATTTATCACAGTAATATCGACCGTTCTGAGCTTCAGCTGATGCGGAGCACAAAGGGAGATCCACGTACTCCTGGTCGTCAGGGACATCCACCGAATCGGCATCATCGAACACGAATAGCCATCATTTCCTCTTTTGACTGAACCAGCTCTTTACGCGCAGCAAGTGCGAACCACAGCCGTTGACTCCTGGAGGGCAACCCGAATATCATACAACCAAAACGGCAGGATATGATATGACCCACAATGCAGACCGGTTTCGAGAACGGCTACTGCCTACCGCAACACCCGGGACGGGGCAATGACCGACAGAGATAACGCCATCGACAAAGCCAATGAGGTGGCTCGCCAGATGCCTGCTCCCAGCCCGTCCACGACTTTCACGGACAGTCGTACATCCCGGTCAACCCCACCAGTCTGCGGATCGGACACCTCAGAAGACGAGCTGGCTGGTGATGAGGTGATCGTCAAGCTGCTAAGACCTGAGCCAGCGCAGCGTCCGGGCGGCCAGGAGTCTGGAACTGGACGATATTATCACACTAGCTCTTCCCAGACATCTATGATGCCTCCGCATGATCAAATATAGGCATCCAGTCACCGAGAACGGCTGTCACCTGAACAGGATACATTGACCCATCCAACCTCCCATACACGGTATCCAGAGACCTCCTCAACGGACTGCCAACGAGACTCTGGACAGCGCCGCGTGACGCGCCCCGTTGAGTTTTCTTCAGAGCGCATGCGCCATGATGGCAAGTCGGGATGGCGTATACGCCACAAAGGGCAAGCAATGTTTGTACCGGATTCCCAGTGGGTATCTTGTGAGAGAAATTGGAAGGATGCTCTCTATTGTGCCTCGCTCAACGTGTTCATCTATTCGCCTACGAGCAGAGACCGCCGCTGGGCGTGGTGGATTGTGCGAAGATTTTGAAGTTGACGGTTGGTGATTTGGCTGGAGACTGTATCGGGTTCGGTGTATTGTCATTCACTGGAACAAAACACTTATATGGAGGGAGTGGCAGATATCGGCCAAAAAGGAAGAAATTCGCATTTCTATACGATGACGTCAATCCTTCTCTCTCCTTCCCTCGCCAGCCTACGCCCCAACATACATCCTGACCAGAAACCCTGAAACTAGTGTCCTATCATTGTTAGGTGGGACACTATTCCTGTGACCCGAGAGGTCCTGGCGGGAAAAGGACCACCCATAGCTCCCCACAAATTTTTGAAACGCGTTAAATAATTGCTCCCAACTGCCCAAAGCTTGAGCTAATGGGCCCCTGCGACCATTGACGCGTCAAATTCCGTAGAAACGCGTCATGGTAGCCATGGGGCCTGCGGCCGTACTGGCTCTGAACCCGACAGCATAAAGGAGCACGCCACGTTTCTCCATGAAGCATATGCAGCGGTCAAACGGACCTTTACTGCTATACCAGCGACCAATATAGACCCTATCATGGACTCCACCCTGCAACTTTTGTCTTCCAACACTTGGCGAGAGGGATAGGTGCGATTCTGGGATGCAGATGCGGTAGTCTGGATCCTCGCCCTCTTGCGAGCCCGATCAGGATTCTGGGAGCCTTCTGTCGGGATGCGCTTCCCGTGCCTCAGAGTAGCCTGGCGTTCCAGTCGCACCAAGTCACATCAGACCTTTTCGTCGTATTCTTGGAAGTGACGATCGAGTTCAGAATTAGGGGAGACTAGCGAGGTAGTCTTGAGGTTGAGAAGATGCATTTCACTCATGGATTCGTGTTTTCGGAGGGCCGAATAGCTCCTGAATTGCCTGAGACACACCACACAACGGTGTGCGTTGTTAGAGTGAGCACACTTGCTGAGTAAGAACAATGGGGGTGAACGGGATGGTCCGATGCCTAAGGTGGGACCCAGATAAGGCTGGGTGGGCTGGTGACAAAGGAGCCAAACTTCTTCCGAGGCTGAGGCGTAAGAGCATCTGGCTGAAGAATGAGGCAATTGGTGCCATTGTCCTCTCGTAGATGGAATGTAGGTATCTGTCTAGCCTTAGTCCATACCGTCAGTGGATGCAGGTGTGCTTGCTTAGCAGAAGATAGATGAATGTATTGAAACCCTTAATTATTCGCAGCTACAGTGTTATTTTGCCTCGCCTATGTAGATCTGCAGGCACTGGAGTGACCGAGAGCTTGGCGTAGACACTAACACAACACCAATAGGGTCTCGTCACAGACCATGCGATACGTGAACATAGGCGAGCGATGCCGGACAGTGCAGGCCCGACAGAAATAGTTTCTTGGTCAAGCAACCTGATAATATACCAGTGACAAGTCGACGGAATTCCAATTGGTGGGGTGTTTCGTGTTGTCGTGTTGCACCACCTAACCTGAAATTCAGCTACGTCCTGATCCACAAATCACAACCGCAAGTGACTTGGCCAAAAGCTGCTGGTTTTCTAAGAAGCTTTCCACCCATCAACACGAGTGTCGGTCAGGGTCTGTGCTCCCTAGAAAACCCCCTAGAATTGGGCACGGTGGCTTCGTATTCGATCGCGTCACTGTCTGTCGATGGGCCGAGTAGGGTCGAATCGGTCGATTCAATGCAACACGAAGGCTGACCCGGTGTTGATAAAATCAATCAACTTCCCAGGTCTTCCATTCGCCACACCCTTGATCATTGTCTGCTCAAAAGGTCGTCATCAAGTCATCCAACGCCATCTTAGCAAAAAGACCACTTTCGAGAATGGCATCATCAAATCCGATCCAACGCCTGGTAGCTTACTCACTACCAGGCGCGTTCCTTCTTACAAGCGCAATCTGTAGGTCTCCCAAAGATAAGAAGACTCTGATACCAGAAAGCATAGTTGGTTGACGCATTCACTGATTTTCAAGGTCACATTCAAACTGCAATTTTCCATCCAGGACTCTTGATCGCCCATTTCGCTCGCTACAAGGAGAAGGCTTTTGCAAATGTCTGGGCCGTAGGGGGTGTGATCTGTGCCATGGATACCCCGGCTTCTCTCCTACCTATCCTTGCAGTGAGCACTGGTGTCATTTTAGATGTTGGCCCTGGCGCTGGGCACCAAGTATTCCGCTTTTCTAACGTTGACGGCATCAAGTCCATATATGGGGCCGAACCGGGCGAGAGCATGCATGCAGCTTTGAAAAGGCGTGCTACGCAGGCTGGCCTTGGTGGCAAATACTACGTCTTGAGTTGTGAAGCTAAACTCGAATCTTTGGTGCCAGTGCTTGTGAAGGCCGGGGTCCTCAAGCCCAGTGATACTCAGGGAGGGGACACTCCATTCGATGAGATCGTCTGCATTCGTGTGCTCTGTGGGGTTCCTGATCAGGACGCGGTGATAGAAGGGCTGTACAGCCTTCTCAAACCTGGCGGAAGGATGGTTGTATGCGAGCATGTGATCAATTCGGGGGATAGTGCGAACGGCGGCACTGCAGTCGGTCGTTTTCTCCAGCGACTGTACATGTGGATGGGTTGGAGCCCTTTGATGGGAGGCTGTGAGTTGACAAGGGATACTCTGGCGTCCCTGCACAAGGCTGCGGAGAAAGATGGCGGCTGGGACAAAATTGATGTGGAACTCTGCGATCCTTACAGTACGATTCCTCATATTGTGGGAGCATTGGTGAAAAGAAAGTAAAGCAGAGAGGAATTTGGTGTCTGATGTTGGTGAATATCAGAGCGCGAATTCCCTCAAGAAGGTAATTAGTCTCTCAACCTTATGAAATGTAAAACACCAACCTAAATTTCAGTGTTCCCAACCGGCCAGGCTGGCCTATGGGCCGGTAAGCAGGCTAGGCTAGGAGATCTACTGGCCAGCGAAGCCTAGCAGGCCGGCCTATAGGCGGCAGCATGTCTGCCTGCGCCACTGCAGACGTCGGTAGGCTGCCATATGAGCAGCCACAAGGTGCAGTCTGGATAATGCTGAGATGCAGCATAGGCGAATGTTAAATAACGGTCTTGATGCTTCGAGTTCGATAAGGCGCAGTCTCACTATTCCAGCAGCTCTTCCCAAGAGTCTCAACATAAATTTGCAATGTCACTTGACCCCCAGCTGATAACATCAACACGGTGTGATCATAACGACGACACGACAAGTTTAGCCTTCAGTTCAAAGCATCCGCCTAGCTCCCCCTGTTGACCGAAACAGCTCAGAGCAACAACAAGAGTCTTCAGGCAGCATATGTCGATGATCTCGCCATGATGAGAAGACTGATAGCTACGAGCAGAAGTTTGGATATCTTTAGGATCAATATTTGACGTGTCTGAGGTGACGGGTTCGGGACTTGCTTGGTTTGTTTTGTATCAATCTTGATCATGTCGGATGCACCACGTCAGTGAAAATAAGAACGACGTTGCCGGCCTTACGCTCAATTCGTTCTCCAGCCATAACTGGAGTAACGGATTTTGTTGGGAAAATTCGGCTCGCCTTAACAAGTCTTCCACAGAAATACCAGATACGAAGATCTGCTCAGCTACTCAGCAGCCTGGACAAGGCTTTGCCCTCATTAAGTCTGGCCCGCAGAGAATCTGCAAAAAGGGTAGAATGGGAAACCCCAGGATGTTCGCAGACCAAGGGGCTTTAGGATAATACCGCCTGCGTACAGAACTGATCCATCCCCCAAACCCCATGCGTTGATAACGTTACCTCATCCATTGGTGCAGTTGGTATCGGTGTGCATCAACCGGAGGGCAGTGTTCCTAGAATCTGTCAGGGAGGTTCGAATCCTTCGCCCCTTACGTTTACGTACGCAGTCGTTTCCCTGCTAGTAAATACAGATAGGAAAGATGTCTGCTCAGCTAGTAACTATTAAGGCGTACATATATTTAACTCTCAGTTGGGGCTCCTGATAATTGATTGTGTGCCCGCTAAGATAGCAAAGACTGCATGGGATATCTTTTTGTGGCCTCTCGGAGCTTGGCGATCGCCGCTTTAAGTAGTGGGGAGAAAGTGAAGTTGATTAGGTCAACTAGAGAAAAGAGGTTCTAGCTAGAACGGAAAAGCATAAGTACTGGCTAGGCAGTACTACGGTGCAGTATCTGTCAAGAAGTGAACTATTTCCTTAGATACCCAGCCTTACCCTGGACGAGATTATAGGGTTTTCCCTAACAAGAGGTTTTTGTTAGGAATACCCTAAGAGGCTTCCTAGCAAGCATATAACTAATAGGTCCGAGAATACCTCGTACTTCGTGCGAGATTCTAGTCTTTTTGAGCGATCCTCAAGGGCTTACGGACCTATTGCCTGACAACTACCGCTATACGATAGTCTTATACCTAGAATCGCCTCTTTCCTAGGGCCGCTAATAAATAGCGGTATCTTATACTAGATTCGCGTTATAGAAGCTAAGATATGCGTATAGAAGTAGGTATTACCCGCTTTTATTAAGCGTTATAGGACCTAGGCTTATAAAGCTAATTATAAATATTTAGCCGAGTAACGAGTGCCTCTCTCCGTCGAAAATAGATAAAGACTATTATATTTATATAGAGAAGGTAAAATACTACTTAGCTATCTTATAAGTATTCCCGAATCCATACCGCGACGAAGAATGGGTGGACAGCATTGCATACGGCATCAAGGAGTGGCCATCTGGAGGTCGTCAAGTTTCTCTACGAGCATGGAGCCGACACCGATATCTATACCGCGACGAAGAATGGGTGGACAGCATTGCATGCGGCATCTAGCAATGGCCATCTAGAGGTGGTCAAGTTTCTCTACGAACATGGAGCCGACGCCGATATCCATACCGCGACGAAGGATGGGTGGACACCACTAAATACGGCATCTAACAATGGCCATCTGGAGGTGGTCAAGTTTCTCTACGAGCACGGGGCTGACGCTGATATCCATACCGCGACGAAGAATAGGTGGACACTACTTTATGCGGCTTCTAAGCATAGCCATCTAGAGGTCGTTAAGTTTCTCATACAGTCTAAGGAAGACCTGGTATATGTCAACCACCAAGATTATCTTCAGTGAACTCCCCTACATACCGCTGTTTACAATGGTTACTGTCTTGTCATCGAGACACTCATTCGAGCTGGAGCTACCCCGACCATATCTGATTGCTATGGTCGGACAGTTCTGGATTGGGCTCCATCGGATGGCCCCATTCGATGCAGTTTGTGGTTGTCTGGTGCCAAGTTCTATCCGACACCGGAACACATCCAGCATCACGTACAGCGTCGCAGTGTACGGTATCTAATACAGCGAATTAAGGATATGTCAGACGATTCACTCCTCTACGAACTCGGATGCTGCCTAATCGTCTTGTCTGATTTCAAAGAAGCGTGCACTTGTTATGAGTACTTAATTTCAATCAACGATCAGCATGAACTGGAGCATCCCTATATTTGTGATTAATATCTAGCCGAAAATGGCATTCGAGGGCAGCATTTCATTTGTAAGACATGTCTAGAGTTAAGTCTTTGTACCTTATGCTGGAGCGATTATCCTACATCCAACGTCAAAGTGCATCAGCAATGCTATAGTCATGACTTTCTGGAGGTGCCGTCTAGTAGTGTGAATGAATTTCTATCGGCCAAGTGCAAGGAATCCGATAAACATCAGTGGCTTAATGCTCTAGCCGAGAAATATTAAGAAGATTTATAGCGGGCAACGTTGCATATTTTTATGCGTATATAAATATCAGTCCACTACTTTCTTAGATTGAGTATTCATTGCAAAAGCAATAATTAATTGTGGCTGTACACGAAACATCGTCTCCTAGCTTTGCTAAAGACATTTCAAAGAGAAATTTACAGTTCTGCACAACTTCAGCATGGAGGGCACCGTCAACACAAGGTATTATATGTAAGTTAGCATCTCGGAAACGCCAGCTGCGTCGCCACTAATTAAACGTATTGTGACGGCACGGCACACGAGGGAAGGGGAGCGCTCCTAAGTGTATGGATTGCCTATAAACGAAAGAGACTAAACTAGAGAGGAGAGAGACGGGGGTGAGAGTTCGTTGTCCTGTGAGGCGCGGCGATACTTTTGTCGTCAGCGCCAAGCCTTCTTCTTGTGACGATTTCCTGTTTACAGGTGTTGTGAATGACAAATTTCTGGCGACCACAGGGCTGAATAATGAACCCAGGAGAGCTGCCTGGGGTTTCTGAACTCATTTTTGGGGTTGCTCGAACTTAAAGCCTTCTATCACCGGTTTTTGAGCTAAGGGTTCTGCGTCAATGCGGCGAATACGCCCGTAAGTGCAAAGAACTTCGAAGAAATACGAATACGTCTACATTAGCACTCTCCAAGGTGCTTCATTGCAGTCTATAGAGCGACCATTGGTTCTTCCTTTAGCAAGTTACATTATACCTGTTCACCACCTAGACGAGGATCTTCATAGATCCAACATATTTATTAAAGTAGTGGCTATCTTGGTACTTATAACGCACGAGTATTGCTTTAGCAGGGTAAGGAAAGCGCTACCTATTTTAACGGCCGAGACTATTCTAGATAGGCTTAAAGATATAAAATAAATAAGATATCTAGTAAGCTTAACTTAGTAATTAAAATAAGTAGCAATTCCTATTTTAACCTCGACTTAAGATTCCTTAGTATTCTTACAACAGGACATCTTCCCATACTAATCTTAAACTCACTTAACTTCTTTAAACTATTAAATAGCCATTAAGAATATCATTATCGCGGGTATAAGATATACTATATCTATTCTATCTTTATTTAGTACTTATAATATCTAGGCAAGCGGTATAATTAGGACCCCTATAGTCGCTACCCTCCTAGCTAACGGAAGCTTTAATGTCTCTACGCTTAGTCGCAACGACTCTAAATCTATCTTCCCGTCTAGTGTTACTGTTAAAAGAGCTGACTTAACATCTCACGACTCTCTTATTGAAGTACTCAAAGGCTAGGACGCCGTCATTAGTACCCTTAACGACGTAGTAGTAGAGTAAGTAGTCGTACTTATTAAGGTAGCTTTCGATGCTAGCATTAAGAGGTTCGTGCCTAATAAATAGGTAAGCTATAATATAATAGTTCCTAGAACCCCCTTAGAGAAAGTTTACGAAGGTAAGCGTACTATTGTTACCTTGCTGAATTAGAAGGTTAAAGAGGCCTAGGTAGTAAGGAGAGAGTTCTACTAGACTAGTTTAAATACTAGTATTTTCTTCGACTAGTATTAACGCCCTACCGTATACTTTATATATCTATTCTAACTTTACTTACGTAGGGCATTATAAGTAGGCTTCATCGACATTACGCTCGAACCCTCGAAATTAGCTAAAGTCTAGGACTTAGGCTCTAATATTACTTCCGCTACTAATTTATCTACTATTAGTAAAGTAGTAGTCTCGATTCTCACCACCGCCGAAGAGTTAACACGCGATCGTCTTGTCGAAATCGAGTCTTTCTCAATTTCCTAAAACTCGGTCATTGAGGCGCTTGAGAAAGCGGCCGGTGAGAGATGGATAATCGAAAAGATAACGACCGAGTAGCAACTCGCTAAGGCGCAGGCTTCGCTTAAGAAGGGTGACATCCTATTAGCGTTCTACGTGTAGGTCCGCGCGTTCGTATTTTCGGGAGAACCTAGTGTAAGATTCTAGAATCTAAAGACGAATAATAAGCTTCTAGGGTTACCGCACGAGAATTTGCAGGAGACAGTAGAGAAGATTGTTAAAGGAGAGAAGGTTTGAAGAGGGTCATGGATTTTTCCTAAGATCCCCTGGGGCCCTAAGCCTAACGTTCTTTTAAGGTGTACGCCTCCGGTGTGCCCGGCAGAGTTTTTATCAGTTCACGATGCTCGTCAGCGCGCTAAATTTATACTGTAGATGTATTATTCTGGGCCATCCGTAGAAACAATGTCGAAAATACTATTCCCCTTTCAAGACACTCGATACCAACGGTCCCGGTATTGCTGTCGACGCGGCAGAACGCGTCGCCGCCGTCGCACATGACTTTGAGGCAGTAATTTGTGATTATGTGTTTGAAAGTACTAATGAATGATAAGGCTTCAGATAGCCTGATGGGCAGACCATCGTGGTCTTATATCGCATCCAAAAAACATTGCAAATGTCAACTCAGCCTCCTCCTTCATGAAACAGTCTGTTGCCAACTAATTCCATTTTAGGCTGACAGCGGGCATCGATCTATTCCGTCTCACTCTCCCTGTGAATCCAAAAATATGCCCTCCCAAAACCCACAGGCTGATTCTGATGCAAAGCACACCGGTGAGCGCTGCAGAAATCGGAGCAGCGAGCTGTATATAGCAAGCTTCAAATGGGTAGAGATGGTTGACATGTGTGCCCTGTTCTGCACGCAGCTATCGCCCTCTTCATCGATGACGCGGCGAGGCCGCCTGAAATTTCTCGTGACCAGTCGACCATATGACGATATCCAGGCCGAGTTCCAGAAGACTCGCAATGATCTCCCTACGATTCGATTGCGAGGTGAAGACGAAAATGACCAGATCCACGAGGAGATCGATATGGTCATCCGCATGCGGGTACCCAAACTCGCACTAGACTTCCAATTAAATGGTCAAACAAAGGACTAGAAGATCGGCCGCTGAAGATGGAGCATCGCACGTATTTGTGGCTCTATTTCGCCATCGAGGGCTTTTATGAGACGTGCAGCACGCACGCCACGTTGGGAGCATCGTCGTCCCTCGCCGCAGTAACCAATATCAGCCAGAGCTCCGCCACCTCTTTCACCACTTTGTCCCCGGCCTTCACCCATGCTGGAATGGCATACTGGATCAGCCGTGGCTGCTGGGAGAACAATTGATGGAGGAGGGTGCACAGTGCCGCCGCTACAGGATCCTGCTCTTCGTTGTCGTTGAAGAAGAAATGGCATACGACGTGCTCCCCTTGGTTCGAAGCTCATGGTCAACGAGCGATTTGGCAAGGACCGACTTGCCACAGCCTGGGTTGGCCAAGAGATGCGTTTCGTCCACTCATTGCCCAAGGTAACCCTGGCCCATTCCCGTCGATGGAATTGAAGATCTTTGTCCTACTTTTGTTGCTAGCCAGCTAATGGAGCCCAATTCCGAGTCAAAGTTAGATTTATTTTGAAAATTATCTCCAGCGTGAACGCGAAGTTTTTGTGAATGCGTCTGAAGCTATAAGAGGCAGCCTGGACAACCTGGACCGGGCGGTCTAGTCTAGGGGCTTTGACGGGATAGGCAATCTAGATTGACGGACTAACAGTGAGAAGTATGATGCAGCACATAAGTCCGTCTAGACCCTGTGTCGATATTTATTATCTCTTGTTAAATGACACAAACACGTAGCAGTATATATCTAAAAATTTCATATTCGCATTCCCTTACTCCGGAAGCTACTCAGCCCTACCTTATCGAGCCTTTATAGGGTGAACTGCATGGTGTATCATGAAATATACCTAGTCGCTACTCTACTACCCACTTCTTTTACGTTAGGCTATTAGGATGAGATACCGTGCATTCAGACACCTTTGATCGGCTGCCCGTTCGCCCTGGGTTTCCACCACTGCGTTATTGTGACGAGCCGTGACCACCTGCTTGCCTTTCTAGTTGCTTTGTCTCGCGGGTCACCTCCGTATTTATTTCGGAGGGAAATTCAGGGTACCCAAATCCATCTGATTTGACCTCATCGTGTCTGAACCGGGACAGGGGGTCAAGTAAGGAATACCACATTGACGATTAAATCCTAAGCTGCTTCGGAGCGGTGTCCCGTAGCCAAATGGTTCAGTGTCACTGATGTAGGGAAATGAAACGTCTTGGAGAGTGGTGGAAGGCTCGATGGTGTCGCATAGGCCGATAGGAGCAACGGTCGAGGCTGCAAAAATGATGAGAAGTGCAAAGGAGCCTAGTCGCACGAGACTTGCGGAACAACAGAGGTGAGAACCATTTTCATATTCTCAAATAGGATTTCACTAAGCAAGCTGGATAGAGTAGTATATGACGGTTTAGCTAAAACTGAGAAAGAGAAGTACGCTGCCTTCCAAGTTCCAAACGCAAGAAAGCAGAAATTGTGGAAGGTTTACTCGCATACATTCATGTCAATGCTACACAGGGGCAATTCAATTTCAACTCTATAGCAAGAAGGCAAGAAGAGCTTCTACCAAGCCTTCCGGGTCTTCCTCAGGCACGAAGTGCCCGCAATCCAACGCCTTTCCAGTCACATCTTGAGCATACCGCTGCCATACTTCTAACGGGCCTTCAACCTGCGTAACCATCGATTCTGCGAATAAGCCTGTCTTGCCCCATATGGCCAGCAAGGGTTTCTCTATCTTACTACCCATTTCTAATTCCTCCTCATCGTACACTCTATCAAGGAACGCCCCTGCCCTGTAGTCCTCGCAGGTGGTATGAATTCGGGTCTCGCTGCAATACGCGTCCCGGTAACAGGTTAATGCAGCAACGTCAAAGTCTTTCAGGTTACCTTTGGCTGTCCACGTCGCCAGGGTACGTTCGAGGAACAGTCTACCGTTGTCTGCGGCTTGAATCATCATCTCAGGGAATGGTTCCGGTTGGGCAAGGAAAAGCCAATGATATGCCCTAAGTCCAGCATTTATGTTGCTGAATCACCCTCTGCGGCCGGCTATTCTCTGCGCTACGCCAGCCCCTGCGACAGGGCAGTAATCTTTCAGCCTTAAAGTATGCCTCTTAGCCCACCACGGTCTGACGTCATGCTATGTGTGCCCCTGGATCCAGGGGCCTCTCTTGTTAGCGTGAATACGGTGGAGCAGAAGGTGCGGATGAAGATCTATGGCTGTCATACCTCTCATACATATTTGCCTGTAGTTAAACTTTACCTTTCCTTGCCATTTGCCATAGCTGGGCCCCTCCTTGTTTCACTTGCCAATTAATTATATTACCCTCGTTGCAAGGCGCACCATAAAGCTCGTCAAGTGCGTGTCGTGGAGAAAAGGGTTCCGTTTCGCGAGGCCCGCGTCGCCGTTTTTGCAAGTCCCTTTCACCGATTTGGCCCCCATCTTCATCGCTTTCGGCACGGCCTCTCGCCGCTTTTGATTCTGTGATTCTGTGATTCCTTGGCACTCTGCCTAGGAGCCCTCGAGCTTCGAGCTCGACCTAGGTCCAGATCCCCTCACTAACCTCTCTCCACCAGGGCTTTCCCATGTTACTAGTTCTTACCATTGCCGCACTCTATTCTCGTCGGCAACGTCTCTTCCTATACCTCTCTCGTGTCGGCGGCCACAGTTAATTTTATGGTGAACACTTACACCTACGTAGCCCTAGAGTTTAAGTATTGTTGTGTATACGTTGTACGCTGAATGATGTCCACTCTCGCTCCTCCTCGCTACATCGATCTCCTCCCTATAAACTTCTTGACGCCCCCTTCCGCATCGCGTTCTAAGTGTACACTCTAGGCACGTTAACCTAGTTAAACACCACGGTCGGTCGAAGGTCTCGTCGCCCGCGATGCCTCTTCTCCCTTACGCCTAGTTCCCACGGCCTAGACACTAATCCGGCCCTCCTCGCGGATAGATACCCCGAGCGCTAACCGTATCGTAACCCTTACGGTAGGGACTACGATATTATTAGTAGCTTAAGCCTTTAACCCCGATTCGTATATAATATACTATACCTCCTCTATCTTTTCTTCTTACTCTCTTCCGTTTCTAACTTCTCGGGTAGCCCGTCCCTCTTTCCTTCCCTCTCTCTTATATACGCTTTACTCGCGGCGTCGGTCGCGTTTTTACCTTCCCCCCTCTATTCTATTACGGGCTTCCTATCGTATAAGGGTCGACATAAGGTTCCCTATATAGTTAAATTAAACTTAGGTAAATTATACCTCGAACGATCTTCTACTAATCTCTATCCCCGAGACTTCCTCGAGGGAAAGTATTAAGAAGCGCTCTCCGCGGTCCGACCGGTTACGCTCTACGCCGATAGTACCCTTTACTATATAAATCGAATTCGAGTACTCTTCGAAGAGTAGGTTCTACTATCTTAATAGAAGCCGGTTATACGAACTATATCTCTAACGCTCGTCTAGGTACTACTTCGTCTTCGACCTCGACCCTCCTTAGATCTTACGAGAATATATTACGGCGAGAATAGAGAACTTCCTCTACTAGATATTAAAGACTTATACTATTAAAAAGACGAGTACGATAACTATATAACTAGCGGTAATTAAGCTAGTTATATATCTTATAGATATAGCGTCGGATAGATCCCTAGGTCCTAAGGTAGATCTTTATAGTACGAATCGACTAACTATATAGTAAATAGACGTTTAGGCTAAAGGAGACTATAGTTTATTAAAGGGCCCTTAACGAAGGAGTATAGCTTAGATAATACGGATACGAAGAAGCCTCTACTCGAAGCTAAGGAGTTTATAGAGCTAATCCGCTACTATTAGGCCTCCGATATTAACGTCTTCTACGACGAACGATAGAGGTTATAACTAGCGGCGATTCTATTGCTCGTAGCTTTTACCGAGTCGCGACCCTACGCCTTACTCTACATTACGTACCGCGAACTCGACCTCTACGTCGAGAAGGATAAAGAGACGAACGCCTACTATATTAAATTAGGAGTGAAGCTAACGAAGACTAAGTCCGGTAAGAAGAGGAAACGACCGTAAGTCCTAGGACGCCTAGCGGATATACCTCGACCTTATGCTAATACGAGCTTATACTATAGAAAACGTATATATTTAATCTCGATAATAACTCGGTCTTCTATATTATTACCTATATTGTAAGCCTAGCTTTCGACGATAAGGCTTTCGTCGTTCCGAGCTTAATCTCTCTAGATATATTATTCCGCCTATAGGCGAAAGGAGAGAGCGATTACTAGTAGATTCCTTCCAAGAGAGACACTCTCGATACCCTCGTCTTTCGCCGGTCTATTAAGACTAAACGCGGCGTCGAGACCTCTCCTATAGCGGAGCTTATATATAGCATCTACTAATCTTAGGTTAAGCGGCTCGGTAAGGCCCTTAGCTATATCTAGACTTTAACTACGTACTATCTTAGGCGGCCATTAGGGAACGCGGTTAATAGTATACTCTTTATTTTATTCTAATACCGTAGCCCTACTAAAGTGCCCAACTTATTTTTTCTAACTCTTTATAACTATAGAAATTTAGATAATTCTAACTCTAACGCGGCTATTCGAAACCTTATCCTTAACTACGTAGGTTCGTTAGCGATATTTAAACGTAACTACCTCTCTTAAATAATACGATATAGTACGCAAGACGTATTTTAACACCGCGAACCCGGCTATAAATCGGCGAAGGCTACTAGTCGTATCGGCCGGCTTCGCGATCGAAATCGACCTTAAGAAGCTTACGGAGGAATAAAGTCAATAGGTACGCTATATTCTAGCCGTCCTCGATCTCATTACGAGTCGAGATCGCCTTCGCATAACTATTATAGGATAGTTCGGGGTCTTAAAGATAGCCGAGGAGAGCCTATCTACGATAACTACTAGGCTTTAGGACGTATAATTAATAGTAATATACGAACTTATAAATAGGCTCTATTAAGATAAATCTAGGAAGAGTACGACATTACCGCTCCCGAGGTTAATATCTAGAGATAGATAAGAGGGGATTTTCCTAACTATCTAGAAACTATTCCTATAGAGGAAGCTATAATAAAGATCCCCGAACGACGCCGGATCGCGGAGACTACGATAAGCGACCTAATAAGGTTTACTAGAGAGAAGAGTTTATCGCGATATATTAAATACTATCGTAATATAATCGCGCTATATTAAAAACGGAAAAGTTATACTACTAAAACTATATTCCGTCTAGCTTTAGCCTTCTCGGAACTACCTAAACCGTTTCCTAGGAAGAAGTTAGAAATTAAGCGTAGTAGTCCTCTAAAATACCGAGGATTTTAATATCTATTCTATATAATAAGTAATCTTCCTTTAGAGGATAAATAAAAATACTTTAGAAGTAAATTTTTCCTTTAGCGATATATCGACCGGTATCGGCTTAACTAGTTCTTAGAGGCTAATAGTATTCCCTACCCTAACGACCTAGGTTGTTCTAGACTCGTCCTTAAAGGGAAGATGCACTTTAAGAATTATGCATCTCGAGTTTATAATTACGTCTTGTAGCTCTTTCTATTCTAGAGCTACTGACCTCGAGGTTCAACGATACCGCGTACAAAGACTCCACGAACACCCACCTATGCCGTCTGCTGCTGCTCTTTCCTAAGCCGGTCTTTCGCCCACGCATGCGCGAGCGGATGCATCGACAGTCCATCCACGTCACCTAGCGTGCTGGCTCGTTTCAGGCGGTAGTCGTCCCACTCTTCTGCTTCTGTGTCGATTATCGCTGGCAGCTGGGTCACGTGCCATTGTCCGAGTGCGTCAGAGTCGCCTGTCTCGCCATCCTTGGCCTGGAGAACACGCGCAGCGCCCTGCCATGCGTCGCTAAACACCTGCAGCGGGAGCACACTCGAGTGCAGCATCGCAAGAACTCCTAGCAGGTCCAGCGCATCCTGTCCGCTCGCGTCTTTTGTATGCCGGAGTACGTCGGCAGACGCCTCGAATATCGCGTACACATCTCGATACCGCGACTGCTGGAGAGCTTCGCCTCTAGTGCAGCGAGCTGTATTTCGCGGCCCACAAAGACTCGTTCCGTGATAACGGAATGATGGACGGCGCGCTGCTAGCTGCCTCCACTTCAGCCAGCAGTCTACTCAATGCGCTCTCCTTTCCTTCTCCATACGTGGTGCCACACTTTGACGCTAAGCCACTCACGCATGTGGTTGGGCATTTGCAACCGCACAGCTCTAGTACCCAAGCGCTCAGTCCGCTCGGCCTGTTGACAGAGATGCGCTGCTTTGCGCCGCTCTTCTTCCTCTAACGGCGATTCTGCCGCTGTAAGCCTTCACCCTTGGCCCTTGTTCGAGCAAAACATGTTCTACGATGCGACTTCTGTAGCGCTTGCAGGACGACGTCTTCGCTGGCCTCTTTCGATGATGACCACCCTCCGCCGTACGCCATACTCTCGCACAACTGGACCGAAGGACAGGAGGTTACATATAATGAATTGGTAGCTGGTGCAGGCAAGAACAACTCAGGCTACGCTAAACTCCGCTTTTGCGGTAGACAAGCGGCGAGAGATGGCCTTCAGTACTTCTTGGTAGATACCTGCTGCATTGACAAATCAGGAAGCCAGGAGCTAAACACAGCGATTAACTCTATGTTTCGATGGTACCAGCGTGCGGCTAAGTGTTACGTTTACCTCGCGGATATCTCTATGTTAGAGGAGGTTGCTAAGCCTTAAATCCTTATAATTTACTCTCTTATAGTCGTACTTTCGACTAAAAACCACCCTAAGCTTAGGATAGCGCTTAATATACGCTGAGGCCTACTTCTTACCTACTGAGTCTTAGTTGCGTTCAACTAGCAAGGAATTAGGCATAGATCGGATACCCTAAGAAGGGGTAGAGGAAGATTATTAAGTTCAAGGAGAGTAGTAATATTCCGAATACTACGCCGATTCTAGAGCAGAATATATGGCGATGCGACTTTAAGTAAGGGTTTGAGTAATTGGGATGAGTAGGTCTTGATTGATGTTAGGTACTGTTTGGGGTGATGGGGTGCAATTGATGTATATCTGAAGGTATAGTGTAGTGTTATTCTACATCTACGCTCATTTGTTGGGTTTGAGATGCCCCATCGTAATACGCTCTATTATAAGTTGGTGCAAAAGCCCGAAGAACTCGCGTCTAGACTATACGTCTTGGCCTAGTCCTGCATCCAGGCCCATCCAGCAACGCTCGCCCTACATCGGCCCTAAATCCGGCTTTGGGATTCACTGATCTCGCTCTAGGAACAGCCGGATTCGCCGCTATAACTGCACCTATACGCCCTGGCGGAGCCGAAAACGTACCACAATTTGCCGTACTGGGGAATCCGGTACCCGCTGTCACAATAATTACTAAGTAGGTTCACTGCCGATTGGATGTCTCTATTGAGATATATATGTGACTTGCACCCAATTTCAGTGATGGGAAGATTGTTCTGGCGCTTAGAGATAGCCGCACTAGCTGCGTCGATGGGAGCAGGTATAAATTCGATGATGGTCCCATTTGCGTCAGCGACGTAGAGCCCGTCTGCCTCGGGTTCTGGCACGGCGAGGGCAGCAGAAAGCGCTGCAATGGTAGCAGTGATGGCGATAGTGAGCTTCATGCTAGGGCCGTGTGATGTTGATAAGTCGTGGTGGTGGGGAATTGGAGAGGATGGATGAAAAAGTACCAGGAGGAGTGCTTGATTTGGATCAGCGTAGCGGTAGAACAATGAGTGGATGTAGGCTACATTTATACATATTTCTGACGAGTATAGATAAGGCTAATGTATAGGCAATGATTTATTGTTGTGGCTAGTGCTGTCAGCTGATCGATGGTCTGATCGCGTCTGTTGGCTACTACTTCATTTCCGTACCCTATCCAATCCTTCAATCCTCCTAGAATTGGAGAGGCTTAGCTACACTTGAATCCTTCCGTACGTATTACGGTTCTCTTGGTTATTAGCTCCCTTAAAATCGCATGTAGTACCTAGGTATAGTTGAAAAATGCCGTCTGCCTGACGCAATACTTGGCTAAATATCATTCTATAACCTCTTGACGCATTACCTGACAGCTATGTCTAGTCCTCAAACTTTCACGCAGGTCTTCGCTAATTATACCTTTGCTCTATGAGTAAGCCGCCTTCCGGTGACTTGTGCCTTACCCAATCTACCTAATTCCTCATTTCCTAATAATAGATACTACTAGGAGAGGTCAAAGAATCCTCCTACTACTATTACTGTTGCTGACATCTGTGTCTGGAAAGGTACGGTCATCTGTACACGGATAGGCCGGTCTAAACTCCTTGTGTAGCCTTGATTGACTTCCGCAATAGGCCGTTTCGTTAGCTTTCGTCTAAATAAAGTAGTGAAATGAAACAAGGGCTAGGACACTAGCTAGGGTATTATCAAGTCTACCCCTGTCACATGCCTAAGCGAGCATACAACAACAAGTATGAGATCGTAAAGGGGCTTAGAGAAGAAATCGAAAGGACGACTTGCAATGCATTCGATAAAGTATACGAGAAACTTTAGATCGGCGGTCAAATATAAAAGGCTCAAAATAGACAATGCGCTTATCAAGTAATCTTATAACTTCCGTAGCTGAGGTTATGAATGAATCGTGTATCCTATACCGCGGAGGTGCTATTATTGTACTCAAACTGTACTATTGAATCGAAGGTACTATGTCAAGAAGAAGAGTAACGAGCTTCGCGAGGTAAGGCTAGCCGTTGCCAATCGATGTGCCGCTTGGCATACGTGACCTCCTCCGCTTTTGCTGCCGAGTCTAGGTATACTGTAGGTGGAGTACAGCCATATTGAGGCTAATCTTGGTAATTTATTAGATACAATATATCGCTTAAGCTTCCTAATTAATGCATTCTGTAATAAAATCTAAACAAGGGACCCCCTGAGCGCAGAGTCCGAGGTACCAGTCCATCTTCCGAAGTATCCTGAAACGGCTCTATGCGGTTGCCACCTGGCGTGTGAAATACTGGATTAGGAACGGCGAGGCCGAGAGAACGAAGTGTAAGTGCTGGTGGGCTGCTTTATAGCGATTAGGGCTCATACGTAGTACTTTTACTTAATAGGCCGTATTACGCTACTTTAGGACAGCTCTCTTGCAATCCTAGTAAGAAGGCAACTACGTAATTATAATCTATAATTAACCTAATAAGACGGATACGGGAATGCGTTTAAGTATTAATGGTATAAATTTTGTTTGATTTCGTGCGTGCTTTTAGAAGTATCGCTGTTGGTATTTGAAGTATCGCTCGCTTGTCCCATCTCAGGGGGTGTCCCACCACGAAGGGATAGACTTTACCCTTACTTGACATGCCAAAAAGAGTAGGCAGTATTTTTACGTCAAGAGATTCCCCTTGTATGTTTGCAGGCTGCATATGCTAACCAATTCTTGAACATAATTAGCTTTGAATTAAATAGAAATAGAGAGGATAGGCTTAATTTCCGAGGCTGGCCTTGATCCCAGAAACTGGCCCGGGGGGCCGAGGCTAGCCCCCGAGATTGAGGTCAGCCTAAAATTAAGCTCATCCTCCGGGATCAAGGCTAGCTTCTGAAATTAAGCCCATTCTCTAGGATGAGCCATCTATTAATGCTAATAGCTCCATTTCATAGGCTGACCTCCATTTCCTAAATAGGAACGGAACTCTATTCGCTTATGAGAATACAAAAACATTCAATTAGTTCTATATCCCTCTGCTTCTAGCTATAGGCTCCTACACACGTCAATCCCTGCGCAACGAAAAACCCGCCCCAACGAAAAAATGAGGGGGTACTTTGACTTTACACTACTCGAACTCTGCGAGTACTTGGACATCTGCTGTAATTTTATGTTTGCTGTGTGCTGTAGGCAATCCTGACTATGCTGGTACCTTCGCACCCAAAAATTACTATCGCGTTGACCCCGTCCGCGCCTGGTTTGCGGAGAGCCTCGTTTTGTCGCGAAATTAGCTTTCCTCGCTAGAGCACCACTATCACATCTTAGCCTGTAAGTCCTACTGTAGTGCCCGCAAGCCAAGAGGCAAGAATTGGCAAGCTCGAACAGGAAAATAGCCATATTATGGGCATTCTATCGGACATGGGCGACTGGCTTGATAGCTTAAAGTGGGAAGATACTGAAGAGCCAATCTATGTATAAGCATACCCAGAAACCTCCTCAATATACCCACGACGTACGCTTCGGGTATCCCTGTTCGATCCTGAGCAGTGACTATCAATCGCACTATTTTTCGCGTATAGGCAGCCGTAACTTTTTCACTAGGGGGTCTGAAAGATTAGAGATTCTTCGGCCAAGTCAATTTCCGACTATCTCAAGCGAGATGCTCTCTGAAATGATGATTTCGTAGTGTACAGCACTAGGGCTGTGCTATGGGCGGCCACATTAGTGATGTTGCACTGACGATTGGCCCATTGGCTTGGCTTACTCCAGCCGACAATACGATTGTACGCATGGCTTTTTACGCAAAAGTGGAACTGACGGCACCTAGATGTTAGATATTGATAGTCAGGGGGAACCAAAATCAGCACCACGCACCATACGTGGCGAGACGACGGGATGGTGGATGTCACGAGTCATCAGCAAAATCGTAATGTCTCCAAAGAGCGCATCGGGCGTCTTCCGGGAGAATTTTTCTCGAGGTCTACCTCGGTCGACCCATGTCCGTAGCGTGGGTATCGGCCATCGAAAAACCATTAGACACAATAGCGTAGTAGTTTGGAAGCTGTAGGCCTTGACTTCTAGCATTTACGGCGGGCAAAAACTTTAGACCCCTTCGAGTGGAGAGTCATGTGTCAAGCACTACAGACAGCGCCTGGTGGTTCTTGTGTCTAGATCGTACCGAAGTTCGTGTCTGCTGCAAGCGGTCGATCCTTTGGTTGAGCGCAGTGGCAGTCTCCTTCGATTTCTATAGACTAGAAGGGAAGCCTAAGGGATCCTTACTCCAACGATTAACTCGACTGAACTCATACCGTAATCTTCTCCTCGCTATACCTACAGCGCGATACACCTAGCATTCTTGGTCACTACTCATTACGTTGTCTAAATCTGTGAGTTTTAATCCGCAACATTCGCCCAAGCGATGCTGGCGAGCATATCGTAACTTCATGTTTCCCCATTTTCAGTCACTATAATGAAAATCTATCCTCTCGTAAAAACACATAGTACTTCACGGTTCAGGCTGGAGAGAGGAGTAAGATCTAGATTTGAAACAGTTTGAACAATTTCGTTGTAATGACAACCGCCTACGAGATATCCTTTACAAGAGAGTGAAAGCTTTCGAACTAAAATAGGATTGTGATATACTATATGGGGTGTCAACTAAAAGTGCGGACTGGTCGAGATAGACCCGCCCTTCGCTTAATGAGATGGTTCCCGCTGAAATAATAGACCATTCAGACTAGTTAAATCGTGCCATTGAACGATGCGCTACCTCCGGAGGCTTTTAGTAATGCTTATCCAGCCTCTAGGAACATTACGCTAAGCGCTTTCGTCAATTTGTCACTCAGCCTAATATATACCCTAAGGCTGCCTAGCTTTACGTTACTCGTCCCTAACTAGGTTCGAAAGTTTTAGAGTTTTAGAGTGGGCGATGGAACAAGCATCGCACGATACCTAAGTACTGAAAGTTAATTGAGCGTTGAAGGCATTAATCTATTTACTGTATTTAATGATGCTAGAATCGTCCCTAACTAACTGAAGGGCCTGTGATGCCGAAATGCGATTCGACGGTAAGAGGTTTGTCAGCCCTTGAATCACCGGAAGAAGAGCCTTCAACTCCGGTTCCTAGACATATTTATCAAACTGCCTCTCTAGTCGCCAGTCCGAAGATTGTTTCCATTTTCCAGCCCCGGGATCCCCTCTAGCTGCAGCATTAGACCTCATCTGTTCCCACTTTGACTCCCACTCCGGCGGTAGCTCCCTAAAAACGTCGATCATCGCTTCAACCAAGGGGTTAATTCCCCACTAGCCGTAGGGTAAAGCTCCGAAGATAAGATAATAAATCTAGTAATACATTTTTATTAATTAAGTTTAAGCATAAGGAGCGGAAATCTCACCACTAAACCTACACGCCATAAGTCTTATTTATAATTAAACTTGCCGGTAAAAATCGATTCGGGTGCTTGCAAGCCTCCAGGCTGTGCGAGGGTTTAAGGTACGGCATTGTTATCAAATGCCTCACCTAGATCGATAATGCGAATGTTGTCATCGTCTTCCTCGTCATCAAGTGGCTAACCAGTCCACAGTGCTGATTTGACCAGTTGGGAAGGGATGCCTTGTCCGAGGGGTTTGTCATCTAATCGAGCTAACTTTTCTGGATTCGGAGGCCCAAGTACTTCAAAGAGTTCTTCTTCGGATAGGCGAGATAAGCGGCCGTTATAAAAGGCAAGGTTTTTCATGCTGAGATCTACGCAAGTTAGATTAAGAGATATAAATATCCTGCGAATGCGAAGTAACAAGACCACAGGCGGAAGCGGCTATACCTCCGTGTGTATAACCAGCCTTATGCATAAAGGCAACAGCTTCCAGCATTTGAGTCGATATTCTAATAATAACATCTATATCGAGACGCTCCCCAAAGTAATGCGCGTCATTTACCATTAAGTTAACAGTAGGGCTAAGAAGTTCGAACACGAGACACTGATGACATCCATTGGGACCTTTATGGAGGAAATCGTCCAGTAGTCGAACAATATATTCAGAACCTAGTTTTTTATTTAAGTATTGCGCCAATGCTCGTAGAATTTGAAGCTCTTGAGACTATTTTGTCCTCTCTGCTTTAGCGATTTTAACGGACACCCATTGCTCGAGCCTACGCACTGTCAGCAAAGCGAAGTGAATGGTGGGCAGGTGAGCGACATACCTATAGTCTCTAGCAACCCAGACTATTGAGAAGCCACCGTGGCCCAGTTTATAGTATATTTTATACCGGCCGTCTTTTAGAGTATCTCCCAGGGCAATAGGATGATATCCGCCCGGTCGATAGTTAAGGAAGTTCTCCTCCTCGAACACGACGTTCGATGGATTATTATAGAGCTCGTGGATGTTTGCGAATCCGCTCATTTTGAGCAGTAACCTAGTTAGAGAAGTGCGTCAATCCAGCGTTAAAACTTAACGAGGTATTAGTTTGGCAAGTTGCAATCGAGCCCAAGCCTTAGCACAGGCAAATAAGTCACTTGTCAAAAAAATCTCCCTAATTATATAACTATTTAGTACTCGAGAACGGATAGTATTTAATTTAATTTAATTTAATTTAATTTTATTATAGTCTATCCTAGCCGCCTTATATAGTAGCAGCTATATAGCGTACGACTATAAGTATAGGTATCTCCCCCCGTTTCGTTTCTATAAGATAAGCCGCTCCTACTAGAACTACTTCTACCTCTACTCTACGTAGTTCCGACACCCGTACTAATAGCCTTAATAACTATATCTTACGTCTATATACTTATCCGGCCTTTTCTAACCGTCCTCTTTCTTCTATTTACTAATATATACTCGTCTACGTTAAGTATATTCGAGTACCGTAGACGATACTATTCGGAATTACTCTAGTAGTCCCGTTCGAATTATTATCTTTATCGCGCGTACGATACTTAAAGGGCTATAGAGAATATACTTAATATCTATATATAGAGTTTTACCTATCTATATTTTCTATTATTCTTCGTACTAATTTCGATATTCGAGGAGGATATATCGTACTATTTAGTAGTCGTATTCGTAGTCGTATTAGTCGATATCGGTCTTATTAATAGCGTAAAGATATACGCGTAGGCCGATTTTACTATTATATATCTATATTATAACCGAGCTAATTACTCTATACGTACCTATATATACGATTAAGAGACCCTTTCCGGAGCGGACTTTAAGCCCGAATAGCTTTCGTCCGTATTTTACCGCTTCCTAGGATCGTTTCTATTCGATCTTTATATTTCGCCGAATAGTAGTCTTTATAGTTACTATTAGAATCCGAGGTGTAGAGGCCTCTACGTAAGGATCTAGGTTGTTCATTATACCCGTCTAACCTGTAGCCTCTTTCGCCGCTCGATCGGCTACTTCGTTGTAGTTATTTCTAAATAGTACGTAACGAGGTAGCGTATATACCTAGTAGGTATATACGCTACGATGGAGTCTATGGCTTAGCTGCCTAGATAGGTAGACTAAGCCTATAAGTATATAAGTACCTAGAAGCTTATAGGTTAATAGGATATACTTAAAGAATTATATTTATAAGTTAAGGCTCTCCGCTTTCCTTGATCCTATACCTCTTTTACAACGCTAACCTCATCGAAACATGTAAGAGCGACAATACTGAGGCCGTGGGATATGTCGACGATAACGCGATCCTCGTAACTAGACCAATACCACAGTACAACTGCAAAGTACTCAAAATGCGTCATCGGCAAGCCGAGAAATGGGCCATGCAACACGGCTCACAATTCGCACCCAAAAAATATGAATTGGTGCATTTCAGCAGAGATCCGTGGATGAACACCACCCATCCCCTCCACCTACCCCAAGCTGTTATCGTGGCTTCACCCTCGTGCCGATATCTCGGCGTTCAGATGGACTCCCAACTCACATAGGACTATCACCGTGAGATAATGGAAACTAAAGCCACGAAGCGGTTGTCGGCCCTGTCAGCTCTCGCATCATCCATATGGGGGGCCGGTCTAATTAATCTACGACAACTATATAGAGCGATGATCGTCCCTCAGATGCTGTTCGGCTGCTTAGCGTGGCACATTCTCGGCCGCCGAGGCGGTAGAGTCAACAGTGCCATGCTCAATGTAATCACAAGAATTTAGTGTAGGGCGGCACAGATCATCACCGGAGCCTTCCGAACCACGGCGCGTACGGCGGTTGATGTAGAAGCCAACCTGCTGCCAGTAACACAACAGCTGGAACAAACAGCCCTCGAAACGACGATGCGCATTCGAACCACCCCTCTCCACGCAGAAATGGCACTCATTGGAGACAACGGCGGGATGAGCACCTTAGATCGTCTTTCCAATCTCCTCGAAAAGAAATATCACGTTCGGCTCGACCACCTAGAAAAGCGCCAACAGCATGTGGTGCCACCTTGGTAGACACCACCAGACACACACATTGACCGCTCAGCTGAGGAGGCCATCAAGCGACACGATACCATAGACTCGCGGACACTGCGCGTATATACAGATGGTAGCGGCATCGACGGTCATGTCGGTGCGGCCGCGGTCGTACTCAACATACCCGTGGTAGATGTCTTGACGAAGAGAACCGCGTACATGGGTACCACAACCACCTCGACCGTGTACACAGCCGAGCTGCGAGGCATCGAGTTGGGACTCCAGATAGTACTAGATGTCCAAACAAAGACAAACACACCGGGCCGATGCGTCATCTTCACCGACAATTAGGCCGCCATTCAAGCCATGGCTAACCCCCAGTGCCCGTCTAGACAATATATCCTCGTACGCGCGGTACGACTACTAGACTAACTCCGAGATAAAGGGTGGGAGATTTAGCTTTATTGAATCCCTACACATCTTAGCGTGCCCGGCAATAGTTAAAATCCTAGATTACGTATAGCTACCTAATAGGCAGCTATAGGCAACTATAGCTACTACCCTATATAAAGATACCTAGGTACCTAGTTAGTTATAATAATTAAGCCTATTATAACAATTTAACTACAACGAAGTAGCCGATCGAGCGGCGAAAGAGGCTATAGGCTAGACGGGTATAATAGACAACCTAGATCCTTACGTAGAGGCCTCTACACCTCGGATTCTAATAGTAACTATAAAGACTACTATTCGGCGAAATATAAAGATCGAATAGGAACGATTCTAGGAAGCGGTAAAATACGGACGAAAGCTATTCGGGCTTAGAGTCCGCCCCGAAAAGAGTCTCTTAACTATATATATAGGTACGTATAGAGTAATTAGCTCGATTATAATATAGATACGTAATAGTAAAATCGGCCTACGCGCGTATCTTTACGCTATTAATAAGGCCGATACCGACTAATACGACTACGAATATAGTCGCTAAATAGTACGATATATCCTCCTCGAATATCGAAATTAGTACGAGGAACGATAGAAAATATAAATAGGTAAAACTCTATATATAGATATTAAGTATATTCTCTATAGCCCTTTAAGTACTATACGCGCGGTAAAGATAATAATTCGGACGAAACTACTAGAGTAATTTCGGGTAGTACCGTCTACGGTACTCGAATATACTTAGCGTAGACGAATATATATTAGTAAATAGAAGAAAGAGGACGGTTAGAAAAGGCCGGATAAGTATATAGACGTAAGATATAGTTATTAAGGCTATTAGTACGAGTATCGGAACTACGTAGAGTAGAAGTAGAAGTAGTTCTAGTAGGAGCGGCTTATCTTATAGAAACGAAACGGAAGGAGATACCTATACTTATAGTCGTACGCTATATAGCTACTACTATATAAAGCGGCTAGGATAGACTATAATAAAATTAAATTAAACGAGGAGGAGAGGATATATTTCGTAGGAATCCGGAGATATAGACGGAGAAGGTATATAAGAGGGTAGATTTACGTCTTAATAGGTCTATAATACTTAGTAGGCTAGGTAGATATAAGATTAATCTATTAACTAACTAATTAATAGGTCTATAATGCCTCGAGCCTACGATACTCCGCGATGGCCTCCCTATCGACTACGAAGGCCTCGAGATCGAGCGAGCTAATATCGACGTCGTCCTAGGTACGCGCCCGGCTTATAGTCGTATAGGCGTAACTAGACGCGAATATACTACTATCGAGGCTAACGGAAATCTTATCTAGGGTTAGCCCCTACGTCTTATATATAGTTAAGGCGAAGGCCATCGTAAGTAGTATCTACGTACGTCGATGCGGCACTCCGTTTACCGAAAAGTAAGCGGTAGCTAGCCGTACTAACATTACCTATATATCCGATAAGTATTAGTCGATAAAGGATAGTCGGGGCGACGTACCTTAAGACCGCTAGGAGTACTAAAGGTAACTCGTACCCTAAGCTAGGTAGCGAGTAGATCGGCGCTATATTAGGTCGTAAGTCCGTCGAAATCCGTAATAATCCCTATAGACCTATTCGATATATACTAAGATATTAGAGTATTATTTAGAAATATTACCTTCGCGCCTACCGAAATATTTAACTAAATAGAATAGTTCGTATACCTCTTAAACGAACGCTCCGACTTACTATAACGAATTATAGTCTCGCCCTCGAAGTTTACGCTTACGTATATAAAAGTTAAATATATAATATCGTATAGTATTACCGTTATTTTAGTATTAAGAGCTACCGCGGTAGATCGTAAACCGACTAAGAATATCGTTTCTAATATAATATCCTTACGTAGATAGGCGAGCGACCGGTTACGTAATAATTTTAATATTACCGGCGTTATATCGCCTACGCGGATAGTATTAAGAATATCGTAGAATAGGGGATCGGTAGCCTACTTCTACGACCTACGTAGAAATAAGGGCGTAAATATAGACTAGTAGTAAGCCTTAAAAACCTACGAGCCCGAAACTAGCGGAAGCTATATTAAGTCCCTAAGTAATATAATATAAATAGGACCGAACGAAGTAGTCCGTCGGTAAAGACGCGTAAATAGCTTCGTAATAAAGTTAAGTAGCTCTACTTTAAGTATTAATACCTTATTAATAATAATAACGCGAACCTTACGAAGTTAAGACTTCGACTCCTCGGTTAATAGGGCGAGGCTTTCGTATCTATAGCTAGACTTCCTAGAACGAATACGTAATATAAAGTAAACTATAGTACTATTAATATTAAGAGCCGCGATACTCGTAGGCGCTATCTTAAGGGAGTATAGGCGCTTAGTTTTAAACTATAGCTTAAGCTAGTTTAATAGAAAATTCTTATCTATATTAGCCGCGTTCGTAATAAAGAAATATATTTCTATTTATATATTAGGCGAGAATCTTACTATAGAGGTAATTTTATAATATACTTAATACTAATCCTCGTTTAAAGATAAAAGGTTTAGGGTAGAGGAAGGAACTAAC